AGGTTAAAAAAAAAAAAAAAAAAAAAGAAAAACCTAAAAATTTTCAAGTAAGATTGACTTACATGAAACATGAAGATAGTCAGCGTCAGGAAGACACCCCGTGAGAGGCTGACACTGGTCGGACAGTACAACCCCGGCTGCCCTGGCAGCCATTTCTAAAAGTTGTGCCATGGAAGAAAGCATGGTTGACACTCCTGGGCTATTACAAAATTGTTTTAATCTGGGACTTAGAAAACACCTCCCGGGATCTGTCCTTCATGAGCCCCCTGTGACACGGACTCGGGTGACTTCTCCAAAGAGCCTCAGGCAAAGCTGCTTGAACTGAGACACTGAAATTTTTCCCTCAGCGACTGGACGATGTTTTGCTGGTTGGGAGATGGCCCCCTCCAGAGATAGTCACTAAGTTTGTCCGGGTCGCTGTAGGATGCCAGATAGGGGGACATCCCCAGCTTGTCGCTTACTGGCTTTTTTGGAGAGCATGGACTGTTCAAGGAGTAAGAGGTGCCGCTGCAGGCGCTCTCCGAAAAGCCGGCCTCCACAATCCGTGGGTCAGACGTCTTCCTCCAGCCCTGGGAGAGCTCTGCCTCCGACTCGTCTTCTTCTGACTTGATTTCCACGTAGTCGTCTTCGTCTCCTCCAGTCTCTTTGAAATTGGAGAAATAGTTCTGTGTCGCTCTTTGGGCATTTAAGGGTAAACTTCTATTTACTACCAGAACCTTCTGGGAGTCTCGGAGCGTGAGATCGGAGCGCTTTTCAGTGCCCTGCTGGCAGGAGTCGGCCAGGCCGGGCCGCACGTCCTGGTGACTCTCACACCTCGGACTTTTGTGTAAAGACAGCAGCTGTTTCTTTCCCCCCTCCCCGGGGTAGTTGATGGAGTCCAGCGACTTGTTTATCAGGATAGAGGAAGAGGACTGGGACCGGCTATAAGGCTGACATTTACCACTGAGGCCTGTCCGACCCAAAGAGTTGTAAAGGTAGCCCTGGAGAGAGTGCTCTTGGCTGGGCTGACTGACTATCACGCTGTGTCTCTGCACAGAGCCCAGCAGAGGGTCGGGGGACGGAAGGGAAGGCACAGAGCAAGCCGTGGACAGCTGTCTCGGGATGCTTTTTGTATCGGTCTCTGGAGTGAGATGTTTCGACTTCAAGTCTGGCTCCGGCCGGGGACAGAAATCCGCTAACTCTCCATTACTGTAGGTGGAATGCAAAAGCCAGTCCTCGCTGCTCTGTTGGGCCTGGGAAGGTGATGGGGACCTGAGGCTGCGAGGTTCTGGAGGGCTGGCCCAGCCATCCTTCTGAGTCTTGGAGGGAGTCTCTCTGAATACGATCTGGTCGTACAGTTGGGAATACTCAGCAATCCTGGCACCTGGAAGGCAAATACGGAAAATATAAACATACAGAGGACTAGTTCCAGATGCAAAGATTAAAAAAAATAAAAATCGAACATCCTAATGGACTGATTTTAAAAATATAAATAGACAGGACCTTTATGTTTGAGGATGAGTCATCACTGACTACTACATCACTGACTACTAAGCAATGTGAACTCAATAAAATAATCCATAGTTGAATAAAACATAAAAATGTAAAAAAAAAAAAAAAAAAGGTCCCCTACAGGTTCATTTAATCTGATCGAATTCCAGATTATTTTTATTTTAGGTCTGCAAATGTTCGCTGTTTATAATGAAAGTTCCTGGTGTTCTTTATAAGCATGAAACCGTGTCAGTGCTAAAACAAACAAACAAACAAACAAACCAGGCATCATAAAAACAAAAAGGTCAGTACTTAAACCCTGGCCAATGACAAATAACTCAAGTAGTCAATAAAAGGAAGATGACACAATCCACCAAGCAGTAGCTGCCCCTGACTTCTCGCTAGTCTTAAATGTTCTCAGACAAGGACTCCCAGAAGAGTCTGCTCCTGGTAGCTTTTCCTGTATTTCCATCCAATGCCACTGTCTGGGAAACCGGTGTCTACAGGAGGCCCTCCCTTCCAGGATTTCAGAACCATGTCTGTTGACTGAGCCACGTCTACTTTCCTATCCCCAAGAAGCCAGGCACTGAGGTCTAGGCCCCCAAGGTATTGAGAATGAATCATCTGTAATGCTCTCTAGTATTTGTCCAGAACAGGATTTGACTGTTATGTCCATGAAAGCTACTGCTACTTCAGATTCAGCTATGAGGCCAGTCTCCCTTCTGCTCCACTTCGGAGTACACAGACAGTGTTGTACACAGACATTTCTAAAGACATTAACAGAACCATGCTATGGATAGAATATTCTCTTGGGCCTGGAATGATTTAAGAGACAGAGCCCAGAGATGTCTATTTCAAGAGCTGTCCCCTCCCCGCCGCCACCACCATCACCCCAATCCAGGTATCCACACAACTTCCCTAGAACCTAAGAATTCCACACATCCTATAAATTGCCCAGACCTCGTCTACACAGTCTCCACAAAGGGGATCTCTCCCATATATGATGACCAGCAAGTGATATGCACTTTCTTCTTAAGCTATTTATATTTTTAGTGACCTATTGTTAGTAAATTATTCCTTGAATTTAAATAAAAAATTTAGTTGGGTTTCTGCCATTTCTTTCGACTCTTATCTTCTATGAGGACAGATGACAAGTGCTGTTATTCTGTGTGCATTTAATTGCAACCTTCTCAGACTGTTTGCCTCCCAAATCCCCCAAATCCGGGTAAAGTCATCTGTTTAACTTCTCATAGAGCCTACATTCAGATCCTTCAGGCTTTCAAGTCCAAATTCCTTGGAAGCACAGAGAATATTAGTTCAGAATTTCTAGTAACAAGAACTTGAGCTGTTGTTCCTTGACTGGCATCGTCATGAATCATTTTCTAATCCACTTCTCTGAAGTCTTCTGTACTTAGTGTGGACCGCGACATTTAGCTCTTGGCTGCACACGCGACCATGGGCATGCATGCGGACACGCACACAATCTCGTATTGCTTGTTTGGTGACACGGACTAGTTTATCACTCCTGCTAGTCTACGTTTACTCTTGGGAGAACAATCCATACAGAGCACCAAGTATAATTCTAGATACGAATTGGTCTCGAGAACTACTTATTGAGATAATTTTTGGACTTCCTTCTTTTAAGCATAGTGTTAAAAATGGATGTGCTTTCCGTAAGACCATACCACAGGGAGTGACAGGCAGCCTAGAGGATCAGGGGCATAGCAGAAAAGAAGAGGAAGCAGGAAAGCAGCCTTTGATTAAAATGTTTCCCATAGATAATGCATAATGGGTACAGTTTATCTCTAGATAATAAAAAGTTGGCCACTTATTAATTTGGAATAAAAAGTATCTCACAGGTAGATAATATACAGTGTCTATCTAAGTTTTAGAGTTTTTTTTTTTTTTTTGGTCTCAGCTTGGCATAACTCGTTTGATGGCAACGTGAATAAGAGAATGGTTCCAAAGCAACAGCTGTCATTAGCTTTCTTTAACCAGATGGGTGGGAATTAGCCAGCTCAAGAGGACATCTCTGGTCTAAAAACCTTAGTATTAGTCAGGTGGATCGAAGTTCCCCATCATCCCAGTTCTGGCATTCATACCCTTTATAGAATATGTATATTCTCAATTCAGGACAACCTCAGGGCTGTCTCTGGTTTATTTCTCTTTTGGAAGTTTAAAAGTGTGGCATTCTTAGGATTCCAGATAAAAACTGAAAGTGATCCTTGCTGAGGAAAGTATGAGATAAACTGTTTTCAAGACAGAGGATTAAAATCAAAGCTTCTGATGCTGTTTGAAATGTAGACCATAGCATAAAATGTGATTTTGCCTTCGCTACACAAAAAGGAAAATCCCTCAAGCCTGTAACGGAGTTTCCCCCCATATAAAACATCACCCAAAAAGGGAACCCAAAGGCCTCATTGGCCTCAAAGACTATGAGGAGGGAGGTCTGACTGAACAAGAATGTTGGCATACTACAGCAGGCTCTGGACGGTGGGAGTGACTAGACCTGGATGGGTGGTTTAGAGGCAGAAATCTGACCCGGGGCCTGTAAACCCCTGCCAGAGAGTTCAATAAAGGTGCTCGAGACTTTCAGCAGGTGAATAGGGCGTTCCTCCTTCCGTACAACACCGAGAGCAAGCTCCTGGCAAAGTGGCAAGGCCCATACGAAGAAGTCTGGAGAATCGGTCCGTTCGATTACGACGTCCTGTGCCCAGATAAACAAGAGAGAGAAAAGGAGTCATCACGTCAACTGATTGAAAGCCTAATGGGCACAGGAAGCGGTCTCGATCCACCCAGATGGAAGATTCCTTAGGTCCGAGAGATGGCAGGCCCTAGGGACGTGCTCCTGCCAGATAGCGGGGGAGACTCCACTCTCAGAAGATGACTTTGGAGAGATCTCCTCCTCTTGGTTGGGGAGAACGTCGGTAGTAGCCCACCATGTCAAGAAAGGACCCAGACGCAGAGCTGAGAAAAGATCCCATGGGATCCCAAGAAGACTTCAGTAGGCAACACCAAAAGGAGAACAAACCAAAGGTAAAAAGAAGCAAAAGAAAACCCCAAAGGGACACCTAAGAATACTTAAAAGGTGGGTAAAAAAGAAGACTATTCAAGGTAGTTCTAAGCCCTACTGATTCAGCATTGGAGGTCTGAGTTCTGCATTTTAATGGATGGTCCAAATTCAAAACAACCGGGCTTAGGTGATTACCACCCTTGAAACAACAGTCTGCTGGCATAATCCATCATCATCAGAAACCCTGTTCTATTCTCTCTCAGCCCAGGTTCCGTGAGTGGAGGCATGGGTCACATACCACTGCTTCCAATGCCATCTATGCTCCCAAATACTCCTTTACAGGTGGAACTCAGTCACTTTTTCCATGGGTCATAACAAACCAGCTTAGCAGCCCTGGTGCTGGAAAAGGGACATGAATTAATTCTGGCAAATTCTTGCAAGGAGAAAAATATATGCCATCTGGTCTCTTACATTCATACAAAATTCACTTTTCACCTTTATTTAAAAAGAAGAACTCGAGAGAGAGAGTAAAATCCTTCAGGTAGCCAATTCCAGTGCTTACCTTCCCTATTTGATAGGAAATTTTACTCTAGGTGTAGCTCTAGAAAAAGAGTAAAGCTTTAGACAATTCTTAAATACTTCCAAACTTTAAAAAATTCCCTCTAGATTCTTGCCATGTAACTTTTAATGTGTGGCTTCATTTAGGATTTGGATATCCCCTTCTTATTCTCTGTTTTTTTTGCAGAGATCAAGACATCAATCTCAAAGGAAGGGGGTTAGTGGCATCAATCTGGCCCAATGAGCCATGTCACCGTCGGGCTACCTGTCTCAGTGTGCCTTGATATTGATCATCTGGGTTTTACTTTTAACTGGAGAAAGGTCTCCTCTCCTCTGATATCAAGGTGGTCCTCTGTCAGAAAATCTAGGCCAGGGATTCTTAAAATAGGGTCAAAAGGCCACACTGTTTTAAATTGCAGATTCTGGGGCCTAACCCCAGAAATTTCTCTGGGTCTAGAGGTGAAAAGCTCCTGAGGGGAGAGCCAGGGCCCTGGGGTTTCTTCTCCCCATGACAATCCTGTCTCACTCGCACCTGTGTTCTTCGACTGAGATTGGGGTCTTGGTGTCAAGTTTTGTCTCTTCACTTCTTTATAACAGAGAAAGAGGTCAAATCTTTAGCCCTCATCGTACCAATATCATACCTGAGAGATCCCAGTTTTCTGCCCCACAAAGGTGGCTTGACCGAAAGAATCACACTTTTTGGAAGCTCCCCGAGAAGACCGAGGCTGTTGGACCAAGCCTGTGCACGACACCAGCTATTTTAGGACAACTATTAAACAAAAAGTCAACTGGTAAGAGAAATATGTGAGGAAACCCCTAAGGATAGAGCATGACCAGCTTTTAGAAAGTGGGAAAAGACTCCTTTTCATCTGTTAGGATGAGTTGGGCATGTTAGCTGGAATTCTGCAGCAACCCTATTCCATGTGCTTCCAAATCTTCAAAGCTGACATGAGCCACGACTCCTCCCAGCACAGCAACACACACATGGAAAAGCTCTACCTGCCACGAGTTCAACGGATCACTATTTTTCACAGTTCAGATTAGAGAAAACTCCTTAAACCGTCACGTCTGGTAATGACAATGTTACACAAACAACAAAACCCTCCGAGACTGAATCTTGCTCCAACCGGAGTGACTCTGTGGGCTAAGGTAGGAAAAGAATTAGGAACGGCCTCATCGGTGCTTGTTAGTTAGGCTGTGGTCTCAGTCGGAGAGTGTGAGCATCTGGGTGGCAACGTTCTCACCGTCTCAAGGACTTTTAGAACCTGAAAGCTTTCCTCACATGCTACTTTCAAGAAGGAGGGAGAGCAGTGTGAAGGAACGTACCGATGGCGGGACCCCCTTGCTTCTTTTCTTCCAAGATGGCTGCCAGGTCTTTGTCCGAGGATTTAGGCTGCTGGCTGGCCAGTGGCTGCTCCAGCTCTGGGTTTCTCACTTTTAAAAGCTGATTTGCCTTCTTGATCTTCTGACTATACTGCCTGGCCATCAGAAAAACCCTGCTTTTCGTTTTATCTGTGGCATCCATCCCAGGGGCAGTGTTTTCCAAGTCTGTTTGGGAGAGACTGCTGTTGGCCAAGTCGTAAGGGTTTTCCAGCGGGGGTGTTTCACTGGCCAGAGACAGCCGGTTAAGGCTCATCAAGGAGCCTTCTTTAGCAATCAGGTCCTCTTCAAACAGGCAGTTGGTCCGGCCAGCTCTGCCAGGCTTGTCTCTCAGTGGTGTGAGGAAAGCGTGGCCCTCAGGAAGCGAGAGGGTAGACGTGGAGCGTGTGGCCTCTCTCCCCAGCTTGGGGGTGCTCTCGGAGTGCAGCCTGTCCGGCACGTCCTCTTGGCTGACGGGAAAGGCTGCCAGGAGCCGGTCTCTAGCTTTGACTTCGTTTTTCTTGATGTAATTTTCCAGATCGTTCCAGATTTCGTCCACCTCCTCAGACAGTTTGTCAGAGATAGATTTATCACCGAGAGACAGGTTGCAGCTGAAGGAGTTATAGAGCAAGCTCAAGTAGTCGTTATTGGAGGGTCCCTGGGGGTAAGGGGTTTCGTCCTCGCTGAACTGGAGGCTGTCCTGGGAAACAAAGGGCCTCAGACTGTCACAGCACGCGAAGTCGGCTTCCAGACCTAGGAAGGTGTTCCTCTTGGGGTGCGTCAGGCTGCTGCATTTGAAATCCAGGGAGGGCGGATCTGGGAGCCCTATGGTGTCGTAGATGTTCTCCTCAACCATCTGGAGTTCATGTGTGCTTTGGTTTGGGGCCCGGTGACCTGTTAAAGCTCCGTCCCTCTCCGTGTGCCGAAAGCTCTTCTCGGGGCCAGGCTGCGTCTTCGAGAAGGCGAGCTCTGGTGTGCTCTTGGGGCGAATGGGGTCCCTGGCTGTTGTCGGGGGCGTGGCCTCAGCTTCTTCCCGTTTAGCAACCATTTGTTTTAAGTCCTCGTAACTTATGTTGTCATAGACGTGGTCTATATCATCGAGGGTCAGCTCTATAGATGACCCAAAGGGAGTCATTCCATCCTGCCCTTCTGTTTTAGGGTCACCCTGCCGTTCCCGTCGGGGGCTGTACTGAGAGCCACCACTGTCCCTAATTCTTATTTCAGGAGCACATGTGTTGCTCTCGCCAGCGCTGCTGGCCCGCCTGACCACCCGGTGGCCAGAGCTGGCGGACTCTGCGGGCTCGATCTGTCCCATGTGCCAACTGCAGGGGCGACTGGAAGTGCTGTCTTCACACAGTCTGGTGGAGTTCAGGTCTGAGGAGGAGAAGGATGGCACGAACATCTGGTAATCATCTTCGTCATCCTCGTTCTCCTGAGGGGACCGACGACTCGGGAACAGGGCTTGTCTGATCTGGTGGTCTGTCCAGATGTTCCTGATGGCTCCTCCCCCATGAAGCACGCTGATAATGGCAGAACTGCTCGGCTGGCTGTTCCTCTGGGCAGGAGATGGCCCTGTTGAGGTCCGCTGGGGAGACCCTTCCTCTCTGGAAACCTGAGGTGGGTAGAAACATATTGATTGAACTTCAGTGACATGGACACACACCATATGACACTCCTCTGGTTTTACACATTGTCTCTCCCACTGGACTATAATAGTCTTAAAGCAAATGATCGGTAAATAGTGTTGATTTTAACGGAGTTGAAACATACTTCGGATTTTTTGCAAAAGGGGCAGGGAGGACAGGAACTGATATTTACTTAGAACTAAGCTGGGCCATGTGCAGACATTCTCCACACTTAGCATTCGTAATCGCTCTGTGATTTAGACATGATTGTATTAATTTCACAGTGAGGAAATCCAGGCTCTCTGCCGTGGTTAGAAAGGTTAGGACACAAACCAAGTCTGACTCCAAATCCCTTACCCCAATTGCAGGGAATCAGCAAAATTCAGAAAACTCTTAAATACTTCAAATAATTCTGATGTGCCCTTGGTAAATAACATTTTATAAATGAACATATATAGGTATCAAGGGCCATTGTATCTGGTTTCTATTTGAGGCTTGCCTGCAAGGAGTTTTATTGTGGTTTCTGGTATACCAGAAGCCTCTGTCAGTAATCTGACTGCGCACCTTAAGGATTTCCCTGTGACCTACGGACCTGCCATGCTCCTGACTGGCATTGCCTTGGTTTAGGGATTCTAGGTGAAGAGGCTTTGTTGCAGACGTGTAACTTAATCCACTAATGAGCTAATGAACGTTTTACTTTCTTTCAAAATACATTTAATTAAGTAGTATTTAGATGTCTGTTAGGAAATAAAATATGAGTGATGTTAATTTCTTTTTTTTTTAATTTTATTTTTTATAAACATATATTTTTATCCCCAGGGGTACAGGTCTGTGAATCACCAGGTTTACACACTTCACAGCACTCATCATAGCACATACCCTCCCCAATGTCCATAACTCCACCCCCCCAACCCCCCTCCCCCCATCAACCCTCAGTTTGTTTTGTGATATTAAGAGTCACTTATGGTTTGTCTCCCTCCCAATCCCATCTTGTTTCATTTACTCTTCTCCTACCCCCTTAACCCCCCATGTTGCATCTCCTCTCCCTCATATCAGGGAGATCATATGATAGTTGTCTTTCTCCGATTGACTTATTTCACTAAGCATGATACCCTCTAGTTCCATCCACGTCGTCGTGAATGGCAAGATTTCATTTCCTTTGATGGCTGCATAGTGAGTGATGTTAATTTCTAATCAGAAAACCAAACCACACACACGCGCACACACACACATACACATGCGTGCCCTTGGAATATGTATTCTGGGAGAAATGTGAAGCTGTTATTAAGAGTTTATTCCTGTTTTAAACTCTTTGACCATTAGTACATCTCTTCTTCCTGCATTCGGTACTGTTCATTAGTGTGACAGGAGATGGGGTTTGACCACTAAGAAAAAAGTACATTTTTGTACTTCTTTCTTGTCTTCTAATTTTATGAGGTTTAGTTAATCCCCATATGGAGACCTGGCTTGATCGCTAGTGTCGAAAGTTTCATCAAGCTCTTGAGATTCCATCTTTAGGGCTAGTGGAGTGATCCCGCAACATGGTACCAAGCAGGGCTTAGCTCCGTGCTCCTGGTTTGGCGCCTGAAGACCCAGGCGCCTCCCGCAGTGTTTGTTAATGGAAACAATGTAGATATAAAAAAAAAAACCAGAATCTCATGCTCTATTTCAGGACAATAACCAACTAATAAATTTCAAAAGCTTCCAAACAAAAATATGTACTCCTGAAAGAAATTCACATGCTCTAATTTTAAGAAAATTACTTTGAGGTAAGAGTGCTGATTTTTAGACATTTTACTGGATATACTGGAGATACAAAGTTTATTAGCGGGGTTACTTGGGCCCTGTGCTAAGAAGTGGTGCAGGAATTTTGGGGAGAGAGTTTCATAACCACGTCCTAACAGATATAGGACATTAAACGAGAAACCATAATCAGTTCTCCAAGAGTTGTTAACTTAGACAATTGGTCAGTGGACAGTTGGACATGGTTTACTCTGGTCGGGATACAATATCGACTCTTCAGTGGTAATACATTTGGATATACCTCTTCAATTGAGTGTACCATTTTTATGCCCCCTCTCCTAGCTTTTATCAGACAAAGAAAAGTCCAAACTTCATAGAGTGAAGTTTCATTATAGGACATGTGCTCCTACTTCTCCTACAAGCAGCAGGACCATATTTTTAGAAGGGGATCTCTGTGACCGAAGGCTAATGCTTTGAGAACCTTCGGGAGGCAGGAGCGTTGGTCTTGTGGCAAAGTGGGGTGCGTGTGTTACTTCCTAGATAACCTTACAGCTTTTGAGGTGAGAGCTGGGGGGAAAGGGGGATGAAGATATGGTTGCCTTAGTTCTGAGAAATGAAGCTGGGGGAGGGAGGAGGTTATAAGGCCGAGTCCTTACTTAAGTCCATCTCAAAATGTGAAATAATTGTTTACATGTGGAATATAGGCTGGGGATGGGATATAGAAGGGTACCTAGAAGGGCTGCCTAAGTAAGCATTTCAAAATAAGAAATGTGATCATGCTTACCTTTTGGATGTCTTGTGCTGTTTCTGAAAAATACAAGGGTTTTAAAAGAATTTTTGAGGATTAAAAATAGTTCTCATACATAGGTAAGCACCCCTATTTTATAGGATCTTAAAACTTGTTAATAACTGAAGCCTGAGAGGTTTCCGGGTCTTTTAGACCTAATTCTCAGAAAATACCTCGCAGTTCTCCTTGTTATATATCCTGCGGTGTATGTAAAAAACAAAACAAAACAAAAAATCCCCAAAACCCCCAAACCTTACGTACATCTGAGGGTCAAGTTCCTTTCTTAATCCCTGACAGCAACAGATTAATGTATGTTAATAAGTTTCAAAGTTTTCCCCCCAAAGATGTATTACCTGAAATACATGCCCTAAGCCATGAGAATCACTTAAACACAAGACCATGCTTCTGTTAATTTTAAAACATTTTATCGGTCTTCCCTGAACGATACAGACAGCATTTATCACTGGGGGTCACCCTGGCGCTGTACTAAGGAGCAGTACAGGTGGGTTTCTCGGGGACCTGAATATCGCCACATCCTTGCAGATACCTCCATGATGCGTGGCTCACCTTTAAACAGGGTTCAGTTATGGAAGCATATAAAGTAAACAGTGATCGAATCCTCTCCGTAGATCCTGCCCGGTGGAAGTTACCATACTGGGCAGTTTGATGGTCCTCTTGCCAGCTCCCATGCCCACGGACCCCAGCCCACCACAATGCATGGTTTTGTTTGTAAAATAAAGGTACAATACAGCATTACATTTCCTGCTAAGTGTGCATGGACATGCTTGTCAGTAGGGAAGGAGGCACTCCGTTCTTTCTGATAATTCCAGAATGCTCCATGCAGCAATCCAAGATATACTACAATTTATTTAACTCTTTCCCACTAGATGGGCATTTTACGGGCTGTCCTCTTACAAATGCTACAAGGGACACACACACGTAGTTCGATCTAGCCACACCTGGACGAGCCCTTCTATACAGGAAGTGTATACTGTGAAATTTACAAAAGTGAAAAAAGTGAAATTGTTGAGTCAAGGGCAGATGGATTTTAAATTTAAATGCTCCAAATTTTGCTTCAAAAGGTTGCAGAAATTTAGACACCATTCGTTTTGGAGTGCCTGTTTTTCTAGATTTTTTGGTGGAGCTTACAGCTTTCCTCTATTTATCTCCTTCAAATGTATAGCTTTTCTGATTACTAACATGGATGACCATTTATAAATTTTATTGATGGTTTTTTTTTTTCCTTGGGAACTGCCCAATTATATTATCTGCCTTTTATTTTTATTATGCTTTTAAAAAGATTTTATTTATTTATTTGAGAGAGAAAGAGACTCTGAAGCAGACTCTGCCCTGAGCATGGGGCCTGATGCAGGGCTCAATCCCATGACCATGAGACCATGATCTAAGCTGAAACCATGAGCAGGACGTAAGGACTCAGCCACCAGGCACCCCTCTACCTTTTAAAAGAGTCCTTTGTCTCTTCTCTTTGATGTGTGGGATTTCTTTACATAATAGGGATATTAATCTTTTTCTGCCAGTTATCTATACTGCAGGCATTTTATATCATTTGGCTTTATATTATACAATGGGGTATTATTTTTTTTTTAAGATTTTATTTACTTATTTGACAGAGAGAGAGAGATCACAAGTAGGTAGAGAGGCCGGCAGAGAGCGGGGGGAAGCAGGCTCCCTGCTGAGCAGAGAGCCCAATGTGGGGCTCGATTATAATGGGGTACTACTATAGACGTTAATAAAATCTGTCAATCTGTAATTTATCTGGTGCTTATGTTTTTGTAGGGTTTGACTTAGTGGAAAGCAGTAACAATGAAAAAAGAAAAGATATGTTAGGACTTACCACTGGTCTTCAAAACTTTATGTGACCTTGAGGAAGGTTCTAGGAGAAAAAAATAAGGCTGCCATCATTTGCAAGACCAAATCAATGTTTTTTTCTTTATAAATGAATTATTAGTTTACAGGCAAATAATTTGAGCTCTAGAAATTTTTTTTTAAAAAATCAAATATACCTAAATCCCCATCACTTAGAGACACTTAACAGCAAGACATCCACTCTGACAAAGCTGTAGGGTAAGATTTATGCTGCTCAATCGGGGGGTCACAAAACAGAAAACTACCCTCCCAAAAGCTAGTAGAGCCATTTCCTTAGCTTTAACCACCACCTATAAGGTGACAGTGTTCAATTTTATGTCCTTCAGCCATTCCTCTCCCAAGCCTCAGACCTCTAATGCTAACTGTCCATCTGACGATTCCCCAATGTACCCACAGACCAAGCAACCCAACATGTTTCAAACTCACCAGTCTCCTCCCATCACTGTTCTTTAATCAAGTTCTCAACCCGGTCATCACTGACATTACCTGCTCAAGTAGCTGTCAGGACATCATTCTAAATTTCTCCTATTTCCATCCATCACAGTTCTGTGGGATCCCAATAATGGCTCCCCTCCCCCCACTGTCTTAATCCAGGCCTTTATCATCTCTCCCCAAACTAGATGGACAGCGTCCCTCAGTTTCCACATCAAGGCAGAATTCCCTTTTTATTTTTATTTTTTAAAAGATTTTATTTATTTGACAGACGGAGATCACAAGTAGGCAGAGAGGCAGGCAGAGAGAGAGGGGGAAGCAGGCTCCCCGCTGAGCAGAGAGCCCGACGCGGGGCTCGATCCCAGGACCGTGGGATCATGATCTGAACTGAAGGCAGAGGCTTTAACCCACTGAGCCACCCAGGCGCTCCAAAATTTCCTTTTTAAAAGGCAAACATTCATTGCTGAAAAGCCTTCTGTAGCGTTGCAGGGTCAAGCTCATACCTCCCACAGTTCAGCCACTTCTCCTGGTTTGCCTTGCTTGCCTCTACCTCCATCCGGTGTTTCAGCCAGGCTGCACAGCTGCCACTGGAGGTCTGATCTAGCGTATGAGGGCCCAAGTCTCAGGACCTTTGCACATGCTAATCCTGTCCCAGCTGGCTCCTTGGCCCCCAGACTCTATCCCAGGTCTTCTGCTCTGAGAAGCCTTCTCTCTCCTTCCTACACAGTTAGCCCCCCTCTCTCTCCTTTGTCTTTCCACACTTCCGCTCACTTAGCCTCTACCACAGCCTATTATGGACTGGTACTTATTCACCCTTTTTGACTCTCCCACCAGACTATAACCTCTTCAGGAGCAGGAATCAAGTATATCATTTCCTCTTGCATCCCTGGTCCTTAGCACAGTGCAAGGAGTTAGGTAGGGACTCACTAAATACTGATACAAGTCAAAGAAAGATTTGAGGGCTGAGAGAATGCTACAGAGTCTGGTTCAGCAAACACATGTTACAAGTTTAGGCTTGAAAAGTCTTTTGTATGTGTCATTGACAGGATACAATTTCCCCCCAGTGGTAGTCAACAAGTTTTAAGTACCTGCATGCTAGTGGTAAGATGCTATGCAAAGCAAAATTAGTTGATTGGTATGTTTTATATTCTGCAGAAAATAGAGAATTTAGAATGAAACTTTTCATTCTAAACTTTTTATTTAGAATGAAAGCCTGACAGTTGGACCAAAAGGATCTTTCATTACTTGTCCCTCTAGATTATTAAATTGATCACAACCCCCTATTTACCTGACTTTCTTCTCAGCCGATATGGAGCAGAACCGTTTTTAGAACCACAGAATGCTTTCGTCTCCCCGTCAGGACTATAACAGAACCCAGGATAATCTGAAATGATAACCACACACACCGATAAGAAGGAGGGGTTCCGTGACTTCCCAGATGGGTACAACTTGTCTTGGCTCTCTCTGGATTTCTTCTTTTTCATCAGACATGGTACAGTCTCTCCTTCCCATAACTGCTGTTGAGTAGGTATCATGGGACTTTTTGGTTATATTGGGACTTCCAGGAATCCATCAGCAAGATAAACTGCCTTTCTAGCACGTGCGTGTGCTCTCAGGCTCTCTCTTACACACACACACATGCATGCACACATGCAAGCTCTTTCTGTGTACTCTTTTTTCCCCCTCACTAGCCTCTAGAAAGAGCCATAACCATTGTCTTTACCCTTTGTAGGAAGTTAGTTAAAATGTGTCAGGTATCATTAACCTTCTACTGCCACCCAGGATCATTTGCAACTTGATGAGCCACAGAGGTCAGAAAACTCTATTAAAATAAATGTCATTGGAGCCAAACTTGTCACAAGGCACCAGACAGGCTGTGGTGACCGGCCACAGCAAAGGCTCTGTCAGTGAGGGCGGAGCGATCTGGAGAATTCCATTCCAGTCCAGTTTCTCAAGGCATCTGTGCCCCACCGATGTCGAGCTATTCTTCCCCAATGGAAGCTGTCCTCCAGCACGGTGACTCTTAATATTTTTCTAGACATTGTTCTTTTGAACATTTGATGAATGCTTTAAGTTCTCTTACCAGAAAAGGGATTTTCACTTATTTTATTTTATTTTATTTACTTGAGATAGAGAGCAAGAGTGAGTAAGAGAGAGAGAGAGAGAGAGAGAGAGAGAGAGTAATGAGTTGGCAGGGAGAGAGACAGAGGAAGAGGGAGAAACAGGCTCCCCACTGAGCAAGGAGCACAATGCGGGACTCGATCCCAGGACCCCGGGATTATGACCTGAGCCAAAGGCAGATGCTTAACCAACTGAGCCACCCAGGCACCCCAGGATTTTCATTTAATTTCACAGTTTATGTCTTTCTACCTATCTAAGGGGTACACGGAGTTCAGATGAAGAAAATTGGGTCTAGGGTGGCTGGTTGTCTCAGCTGGTTAAGCATCAGACTCTTGATCTCAGCTCAGGTCTTGATCTCAGGGTTGTGGCCTCAAGACCCTTGTTGGGTTCTATGTTGGGCATGAAGCCTACTTAAAAAAAAAAGAAAGAAAGAAAGAAAAGAAAAGAAAAGAAAGGAAAGGAAAAGAAAAAGAAAGAAAATTGGGTCTAATCCTAAAGTTCTCTAGCCCTTTCCCTGATCATCTGAAGCCTGAGGGTAAACAATTTTAGGATGTGGCTGTAATACGGTTAAGGTTTTAAGAGTGTCCAAAACTCCAGAGAGTTCTGAGGACTGTAAAGACCACACATGTTTGTCCAATGTCAGTGGCAAAGTTACCTAAATGAGGTCATTTGGCCCAATGGACTGGCCTGCTTTGCCCATACCCAGCCAAGTCCAAAGTCAAGGTAGGGCAAAGGAGGGGATTTTCCCAGGCTGGGTTGCTCTGGCCTAGTCTTGGGCCTGGGAGAAAGGGACATCATACCAATTAGTGGCCCAAAATCGTTCTGTGAATGCACAGAACCTTACTGGTGTCCATGAACCCACCCCAGGCTGGGAACGAGGACTTGGTGCAGACGGCTTCAGACTGCCGTCTTCCTCCATCTTTTCTCCTAAATCGAACATGGTCATCCATGATCTTGCCTTCTCTTTAGAATGTTTTCATTAAAAACAAACAAACAAAAAAAAAACTTAAGGCGCTTTTCCCTGAATAAAATGGGAGCCAGGGTCCAACTTGTACCGGCTCTCTCTGGATTTCTTCTTTTTCATCAGACATGGTACAGTCTCTCCTTCCCATAATTGGTGTTGAGTAGGTATCACAGGACTGGAATTCTCCAGATCACTCCGGGAGCCAGGGCAGCGGGTCCCAGCCTAGCCCTCTTGCAGGGCCACCTCTCAGGAGCTGTGGGGCATGACACGGGGGCGGGGGTCTCAGCTACGTGGTGGGGTGTTCATCTTTTGACCTCACGAATGCTTCTTGTTTCCCCTGCAGAGCTAACCGCCAGCTACGTGGAGGGGACACGAATCAGTGTTCGCACCTGGGGCAAGAGTCCTCAAAAATTACTTCAAACACTGTAGGTGAGAGTTTTTGTCAGACCCAGTTGTAAGTCTAAAGCCATCGATTCTCTTCTTACTCTGTTTCATGTGGGAGAGAACAAGGATGTGATAAATGCTGTTGAATGAGGTTTTGATTTTGTAGGACAGAACTCACCTCTGTTTATTTCCTGCGTGTTTTCTAAGCCTAGAAATACAATCACACTTGTGGGGCTGCTGTAATTTTGAAACCTGCATCAGGGAAACCGTTAACAATCTTGTTGGCGTGATTCGTGCAGGTAAACAACATAGATTTCCCTCCGAGGGGCTGTGGGGGGAAGTGTGTAGATCCCTGATTTCTGGTGGCGGTGGAAGAGAGGGAGAGACTTGACCCTGGCAGCAGGTCTTACATTCTTAGTTGATACAGAGATCTGGACACGTGGCCAGCCATGAGGTGACTCACAGATAAACCAGGTTAAATCAACATAGAAGCAAACCAACGTGTGAGGAGACATCACGCCATCTGCCGGCTCTGTTTTTCTTACCACAGTGGACAGAGAGCTGCTCCTTTCTTACAACTGACATTTTTATAAATTCTAAGCTAGAAAATATGATAGATGCAAGGAGACAAAATTTCAAATTGTATGAAGAGAACGAAACTTACGAATGGCATCCATTTCAAGTATTGCTTGCTTGGCCTGAAAGAAAGAAAGAATCGCTTTAATTGCAATTACTTTTGGTTTCTTCTTTAAATTACCTGTCGTCATACAGAAGACCTATATTACCTCTACACCCTATCTGAAGAAGGGATTCATGAAAAGCTTTAAACACCTCATTATTTCTTTGAGGCACTAACACATAGTTCAAGGGCTTCAAGCAGACGAGCGCCCTCCGGTGGACAGAGGACGCTATGCAATGGAGGCACCAGCGCTAAGCTCACAGCCCACATCTGGAAGGAAGCCACAAAGGGCAAGATAGGACCCACCTTTCAGGGGTGCTGGTAGACGCACATGACAGGCATGCAACCCAACGGAATTACCACCTGCCCACCAAGGGACTGGGCCAGATAATCCTCTACTCTGGCTTTCTTCCCCTCCACCCCAAAATTCTCAGCTTTAAAGCTCGAAGACTTCATTGTTATTGCTGTCAACGATATGAATGTTTAGGGAATTATAAAAAGATAGTTAATTATCCTAACGTGAATCCTGTGGCCCGAGGATGCAGAGGGAAAAAAAATTACTTTAAGTAGCCTATCTTGCCTCCTGTGTCATTTTCATAGTTCAAGGGTCCTGTAACTTAACCTACAAATATTGGGCGAAAAATCACCTTAAAAATAATTTGGTTGTGTGGGGGGTTAGGGGGGTTGGAGAAGAATAAATGAAACAAGATGGGATCGGGAGGGAGACAAACCATAAGTGACTCTTAATCTCACAAAACAAATTGAGGGTTGCTGGGGGGAGGGGGGTCAGGAGGGGGGGTGGGGTTATAGACGTTGGGGAGGGTTTGTGCTATGGTGAGTGCTGTGAAGTGTGTAAACCTGGCGATTCACAGACCTGTACCCCTGGGGATAAAAATACATTATATGTTTATAAAAAATAAAAAAAAATAAGGATTAATAAAAAAATAGTAATTTGGTTATATTTTGCCACACTGCACTGAAAGTACAGTAAAAAGGTTTAGGGTAACTGGTAATATTTAGTTTAAAAAAAAGGACAGGAGGAGGTTAAAAAAAAAACAAAACTTCGCTGGATCCAATCACGAAGCAAAGAACAGCTTGTGAAAACAGTTCCCTTTTTTATTCCACACATACTGTACACACAACCGGAGAAGGGCAACAGCTACTCCATTATTATTTTGTTGTTGTTGTTCAGTGATGTAAGCAGCACTTATAAATGTTACAAGAAAAACCCTGTAAGCATCCAATCCACCCGATGAAGAAACGGAAACGTAAGGCTTTTCTTACGTTTCTTACTGATGCAACCACCATAAGTTTGAGAAAACAAATGGTTAGATTTTGATGACATTGATGTTTTTATCATAGAGTCAGTTTGAGGTTACTAGTTGGAACTAATTTCAAACACAGATAGGAGCTCAATTTCTGTGAAGTGCATTTCTAGAACCAGGTGGATATATAAAATGCAGAAGGTGGGGTGCCTGGGTGGCTCAGTGGGTTAAGCCCCTGCCTTCAGCTCAGGACATGATATCAGGGTCCTGGGATTGAGCCCTGCATGAGGCTCTCTGCTCAGCAGGGAGCCTGCCCCCCCCCCCCCCCGCCGCCCCTCTGCCTGACTCTCTGCCTACTGTGATCTCTCTCTGTCAAATAAATAAGTAAAATCTTTAAAAAATAAAATGCAGAAGGCTCTACTTTTATCTTTATTCTCAATCTAGAGCAGAGTGAGTGTGAATATCATGTATATGAATAAAGAAAATGCTTATTTCCAAGAAGTTTCCTGGTATCTATAGACTTAGACTTTAAGGACTTAGTATTTCCCCCGCCCCCCATCTTGACATTTAATTTCAGAAAAGTACTATTCCCACATTTTCCTCTAGGAGTCAGCCAGGGACCATCACTGAATCGTAAGACAGGAAGGAGGTTGGGAGTCACAGGAACAAATTTCCAACAGCTCATGGTAACCTTGTTAGACGGTAAGGCTTTTTTGATGTTTACAAAAATTCCCCATTAGGCATTTCTTTTGTTTACTAGGAATAAACAGATTTTGAAAGATTTGGAGAAAAAGATCTAAGAAGAAGTCTTAAAGAAAGAAGTGAAAAGTTCAACTTAGTAATAAACCTGCTTAAATAAAATAGAAACTTATTATTATATCACCGTGGATCACGTATATTAAATAAATGCATTTTCATTGCCCCTGGGAGCACTGTGGAACGTGGCTCATGCTTGCTCCGTGCACCCAGACAGACCTGGGTCTGACTCAGGCTCAGTCACGTACGAGCTGTATAAACGTGGGCAGAGAACTCACGTCGCTGAGTTTCTGTTCTGACTTTTCTAGAATGGGGAGAGTAAGACCTTCCTCAGAAGGTGTTTTGCTGAGGGCGAAATACAAAATGGTCAGCCCACTGTAGGTGTGCTCAAGACGTCGTTGCGGAAAAAATAACGTTTAGGTTCTAAAAGTCAGGAATTTGGGTAAAAGAGTGCAGTTCTGTTGTGACTGTTCGAACCATGTTAACGCATCAAGGGAGAATAGCCTGGAACACACGGGTCTTGTGTGGGAGAAAGAGGACAGGTACGCAAGCTGGTCTGGTTTCGTAATGGCCTTTGGGAGTCCTTTGGCAGCTCTGATTTTCCCAGGAGACAGGTGAGCCGTGGGCGGGGCCTATCAAAGCCACTCTGTCATTGCTCAGGGCGGTCCGGGGCACGGGGCCAGCAGCCCGGTAACTAACCAGGAAGAAAACGCAGTCACTTCTCCGCCTGACTTACCTCACCTCTCACAACGCCCTGATGAGATGCGACTCACGCTTCACTCCAACACACATCTATGCACACTCATTTCCCGGGTGCCAAATCAAGGCGGACAGCCCGGGAGAACGAGCTTCAGATACACAGAGCAAAACAGATGCTAGTTGCTCAGAAATGTCCCTGGCCCTAATTCTGCAACCCCGCCACGCCCAGTCCGATTCTCGTGACCACCATCCCACCTTCTGCTCCACTTTCTTCCTCCCCCAGCCCAGCAAGGGCTGCTTCACTGTCCGTAGGACAATCCATTCTCCACCCGCACCTTAGCTCCTAGCGGTTTTATCTCGATCGCCCCTTCCTTCCACTCCAGAACAGCAACACACAATCAGAGCGGCCCCCAGGACCCTAGCAGCACCCAGAGCTCTCCAAGTCCACTTTTCGACCACAGACCTCTGTATTTCCATCTCCCCACCTTTCAACTCCTGCTGAGCCAGTGTTTGGAATGTGCAGGCCAGCGGTCCTTCAAGCCGTGCCTGTTCTCTCTGTCAGCTTCACGCTCCACTCAGGCTCCCCCAACCCAACACATGACATCATCACCAACTCCAGGGAAATCAGATTCTTTATCTTCACACGAGTCCATCTCAAAGGTGCTCGGCCCTGTCTCATCTTTCTTCTCCCCCGGCTCTGGGAGGGAGATTTCCACCTTCCCAGACTACTCTCTCACCCAGCGCTCCTGACCCCACCCTCCCCGCTTCCCGGGGTGGGTTCCAAAGAGCACCCCTCGGCTTATCGATTCACTCTCCTTCCCACTGCCCACTGTCACATCCACGGTGTTCGCCTACGCCGATGCCTCGCTCTCATCTTGCCCCTCCTCAAGCCACCACCTTGCATCTTTCCTGCGTTTGTTCAAGTCTGCTGCTTCTCATTTCTGCATTTCTCTCTAACACCCTGCAAGCTCTCCCTCATCTCTTAGTTGCCAAACCAGATCTCGACGCTCCTGTTTGAATCGGCTGTGCCATCCCGTCTGTGGCATTTGAGACTCTAGCTACCCTCTTCTTCTTTGAGATCCTTTCTTTCCTTTGTCCCCATGCCTTTCTCCTTTGGTTTTCTTACTACCTCCCTGCTCATTCTCCCCACCGGCTTGCGGATCACTGAGATGTGATTCCCAGGGGTTCTTTCCTTTGCACACTTTCCTGGGCCGTCCTATCGAAGCTCAGGGCTTCAGTGACTGTCTGTGTCAAGAGAGCCTCCAGATCCGCAGCTTCCAAGACCTGAATTTCCACCTGGGCTGACTCGCCTCCACACACGCTACCGTGAGAGCTCCTTGCTCCCACCCAACCGGTTCCTTCCCCTGGCAGCTTGTCTCAGAACTCAGCACTGTCTCCTGGGCCCAACCCCTGACTCATCCTTCACTCCTATTTCTCTCTCTGTCCTCATGCACCTCATGGGCAACTTACATTCCCTCTGCCTCTGTGAGAGCTTTTGCATCTGCTCCCCCTCTGTTGCTGGGGCTCCCGGAAGTACCCCTCGCCTGTTTTCTAGACCACCCCGGTGGCTTGCTGATTCTTCTCCTCCCGCCAGCGTCACTCCTTTAGCTCATTTATCACCCTTTCCCTGCAGTTACATGCTCAGAACACAGGGGAGATCATGCCAACCCCCTCCTCCACAGCCTTCAGTAGTTTCCTACCACCCATACAGTCAGACTCCTTGGTGTGTGCCTTTAGACACCTTCGCAGCCCAGCGGACTGCCTTCTACTTCTCCAGCCTCACCGCCTGCTCCTTCTCCTTAGGACCCAGCCCTTCCACAGAGGCACCATCTGTGGGCTGGGAACAGGGTGCACCCATTCACATCTCATTGTTTTTGTTTATGCTGTTCCCTCAGCTTGGGTTTCCTCTTCCTCCACTTGATAAAAACATTCCTCATCCTTCAAGACTGAGGTAGGTAAGAGTCATTTCCTTCCTTTCCCCATTCAACTGTAGTTGAACACTTTATCCTTCAGAATACTTGGCTTATACCTCTATTAATTCATCCTCTTTAGCAAACAATTTCTTGTTTATATGGCTGGCTCTCTCATCGACAAATTACTTCATAACTGAGTCTCTATCTTCTTTCCCTAGCATTCCCACAGAACCTAAGCTTGCTCTGATCACGATGTGTGCTTAGTGGATCTTTGAACACTTCTCACAAATGTATTCTACTAGTTCTCCCAAGATTTTCTTGTAGTCTTTTCCTTAATTTTAATTTGCTCAAGCCCCAAAACAAAATATAACAACGACAACAACAAAAACCTTTAGGGCACCTGGGTTGCTCAGTTGATTCAGCGTCTGGTTCTTGGTTTTGGCTCAAGTCATGATCTCAGGGTTCTGGAATCAAGCCCCGTGTCAGGCTCCAAGCTCAGCAGGGAGTCCCCTGGAGGACTCTCTCCCTCTCCCCCTGCCCCTACTTGTGCTCTCTCTCTCTAAAGTAAATTAATAAATATTAAAAAAATAAAAAACAACCTTTGACAAGTTCCCTATATGTGAATCTTCTTAATGTACCTGACGGGTTGAGTTGATCCCATCTGTATCCTCTCTATTTTCTTTATCTGGAAGGTGAACATTTATTCCTGGCAGGCTGCCTTCTGGGACTTGAATTCCTTCACATTTCCATGTTTGTTGACCTCATCGTCTTACCTTTGCCGGAATCTTGGCTGCGTGGTTCTCCAGGATCAGCCTCTTCAGGTGCAGAACCCACAGGCGCTTGTCCTGCTGGGACTTAGCCTACCAGAAGGCAATGTGGACAGTCAGATGGCTTGTGCCTCCCCAACACACAAGATTAGATCCTTTGATAACCCTCTGACAAGGTGGGAAACAGGCCGTGCGGCCAGAAGGCTCTGGAAAGGCCGGCCAACACACGGCGCTCCTCCTTCTCAAGAGCGAGCCCCACGGGGCCGGGAGGGCCCGGCTGTTACCTGAACTGTGTGCTGCAGCTTCGGGTTCTTATAGTGGAAGACGCTGAAGCTGAGCGGCTCCTTCGGAATCACTTCCACAAGCATGAGGTTGCCGCACTGCGCAGGACAGCAGAGAGAGGGTGAGGCACGCTCGGAAGAGAACGGAGCAAACCAACCCCACCCCCAGCACTCAGACCTACCAGGATGTGGGCTTTGTACGTGAACGTGTCGTCTCTTTTCTTTGTGATGAGTAGCAGCTTGTCAAAGAGGAAGAGCGTCCGCTCATTCTTGGCGCGCTGGATGCGAAAGGTGCCTTCCAGCACCAGCTCCCCATAGCTGGTCAGGTCTGGCCCCTTCCAGTTAGTGAGCAGACTCTGTATCTCCTGAAAAAGTGACCATTCCTGGTGACTAAGCAAGGAGGTGGGAAGACGTGGCTGCAAGGACATGGTGGCCCATATGCAGACTCTCAAGAATGGGGCCTGACCATCTCTGATGGGCTCTAATGGATCTGTTTGGCGTCCAATGGTGTCTAACGATCCATGACCTAAACCCACATATACGGGTGCTGCCACTTAAGGGTTAACAGAAATGAATCAAGTTGTTAATTGCTGAGTTGCCAATTACTTATTTCCATTCCTTGATAATCCTTTCCTAGGGCCGCTGACAACACTTAGGACTCTCAAAAGCTGGGTAAAGAGGACACAGGTATGTGACCTTCTCTGAAAGGTGTCTTTCTCTTGACATTCTCACCCACATTCTCTGCATAAAAACCTTCAGAGCTACTGACATGCAAACCTTCTTCCAGAAATTGAAATCCATACTACATACAAGTAACTCAGAACTAAGGGCGGTGAGAAGACACGGAAGATGCATCTTAGAAATTTCCTGGTATTAATCCCATTTGTTAGGGGAAAGGAAATGAAGTTCGTCACTACCACATTTTTAATGGCACTTGATAAACATCAACTGAGAACAGGGCTTTGAAGTGTCTTTGGGATGTGCTGTATGTCCACACCAGTGTTTTTTAAGGAAACGGATTTTTTACTGTTTTGAAAAATGAAAATATTTGCAGATAGCATTTAATTAAGCAGTCCAGAGGACAGCCCCAAATTTCACTGGTTGAAAGTAGAAATGGATAGGAATGGAGATAAAAGTCTGGGCCAGAACCTGGTTTAGCAGCATCCTCAGAATGGCAAACAGATTTCTAAGATGTGAAAAACCAACCAGTCATTTAGCCATTTCAGAATATGCGATGGATGTTATGTCCATAGAACATGTGGCTGACGACACACGAAAGCTTTTCTGACTATTCTAAAAACCAGACATGGCCTGGAAGACTAGAATGTCACCTTCGCTCAATTTCTGAGCATCAATTACTTCATACCACACTCTGGCTGCCTATAGATGAATCCTAGAGTTTTGTTTTGATTTTTGAGCTCAATAATGTATCTTTTTTCTTGAGTTGGGCATAGGAGCTCTGCACAGCATGGAGTCACTCTGGACTTTCATGTCTCGCTCCAGGGACACAGAGGAGCCTGTGACCAACTTCTAGGCCCACATGACCTTTTGTTTTTATTTTTTTAATTTAAAAAATATATTTATTTATATGAAAATTTAAAATTTTGGCACAATCAGGGGTGGGGGAGGGGCAGAGGGAGAGGGAGAAGCAGATTTCCAGATGAGCAGGAGCCTGACACAGGGCTTGGTCTCAGGACCCTGAGATCATGACCTGAGTTGAAGGTAGATGCTTCACCGACTGAACCACCCAGGTGCCCCAACCTTTTGTTTTTATTTTTATTTATTTAAGATTTTATTTATTTATTTGACAGAGAGAGAGAGAGAGAGAGCATGCACAGCAGAGGGAGCGAGAGAAACAGACTCCTAGCTGAGCAGGGAGCCAGACATGGGACTCGATCCTAGGACCCTGGGATCATGACCTGAACCAAAGGCAGACGCTCAACAGACTATGCCACCCAGGTGCCCCGACCTTTTGTTTTTAAATAGTGAACCTGGGACATGATCACTGAGTTAGCATTTATCAAATGTCTCTAAGGATTTAGGGTCTAAAATACTGGTGCTGGAAAGAGGCTTAGCAAATCTCTTGTCTCTCTTATTTTAGAAATGAGGACTCTAACATGCACTGGTGAGCCTCGTCCCAAATGGAGCGGGAGAGAACCTGCGTCCAGACTTAGCTCTCCTTTCTCTGAGTCCCTGTCCCACACCACACATGTACCAACCCACAGTTCTGCATTCACTAGGGAGACAGGAAGTAAGACTCAAAACCCTTCCAACAGCTTAGAGAAAGTTGCTTCCAAGAAGAAGGACGTATTTGTAATTAACACAAGCTAAGGGTGCCGGAGACTCCAACTTCTAACCTGGGTAACTGAAGGGGCTATGAACAAACTATTCGTTTAAATTTATAATGTAATTTCTCTTAAATACCACCTTAAACAGTGATCAAATTAGCCACGTCCTCATCTTCCTTCAAGGAGACCTCCAATGAAGATGGTGGAGGAAATGGAATACTTGAGCAGCCTTAGAATCTGATTTGGAAAATGGTAGGGGCACCTGGGGGGCTCAGTGGGTTGAGGGTCTGCCTTCGGCTCAGGTCATGATCCCAGGGTCCTGAGATCAAGTCCCGCATCAGGCTTCCTGCTCAGTGGGGAGCTGGCTTCTCGCTCTCTCTCTCTCTGCCGCTCTCCCCTGCCCCTGCTCATGCTCTCTCTCTCAAATCAATAAATAAAATCTTTTAAAAAAAGAAAGAAAATGGTAACAAGTCCATGCCCTGCAGCACCGCCAGGCACCACCGTCTCAAGTTCACCTGCAACCGGACTGCGTGCTCATGCTTCCTCTTCATGTCGTTGATGTGCCAGGCCACTCGCTGCATCGTGTCGATAGCATCAAGCACCACGTCGTAGCCTTCGGTGTCCTTGTCAAGGTGATTTTCTATTTCCTTTAAAAAAAAAAAAAGACAACTATTTTCACTTTTTTCTCGTATAGCCAGTGACACACACGATGAGTTCCCCGTATTTCACTTTTGCCTCTACTTACACGCTACCATCATGCCTTAAGAATCTGAGATAGTTTACCAGAACAGACTTGCAACAAAATGGTAAGATGGGAATGAAAATGGGGGGAGGAAAAATAGGAGTGGATTAGAATTTCATGACAAGGAAGATAAAAGAAAACACTATATGGTCTATTAAGACTTGTAAGGATGCAACAGTTACAATAGATACAAGTGTTGCTATTACGTTTGGAGACTTTGGAGTTTCCTGGTGGCCAATGGTAATAGAGTTCTCACCCTTACAGGATAGAAAACATACTTTCCTTTTCCTCCCAGAGGATATATAATATGTAACACAGGACTATGTAACAGACTGAACCACAGAGTGGATGCTATCTTTATTTTTTATTTTATTTTTTTTAAAGATTTTATTTATTTGACAGACAGAGAGAGATCACAAGTAGGCAGAGAGGCAGGCTTAGAGAGAAGGGGAAGCAGCCTCCCTGCTGAGCAGAGAGCCTGACATGGGACTCAATCCCAGGACCCTGAGATCATGACCTGAGCCAAAGGCAGAGGCTTAACCCACTGAGCCACACAGGCGCCCTGGACACTTCTTTAAAAGTATGTGTATAGCAAGTGACTTTCCTTGTAGTCAAGGCTTTAAAGCCCCAAATGAAGTTCATGAAATACAAGCCTTCAGAGTATTGAGAATGATCTCATGGTTCGCGTATTCTCCGGCGATCAGCGCTCAGGTCAGCCCTGGAGTTCTACAACCCCAGGGACACGACAGGGACATGAGCTCTGCTCTAATTCTTTCCAACACAGAGGACACATGTCCCTAGACCCCTCAACAACCTATGGAGAGGGACTGTTGTATCATTTATTTTTATTTCATTCTTTATCTACTCAATAGTAACGACCAGAGAGCTAGGGGTCAATAAATGCTTATTAAGTTGGCGCTCTATCTTCTTAAAACAGTAACAGTAACCTATACAAATATGTAAAACAATAAGAAGATATTATAGTCAATTAGATCATTACTGGGACATCAATGATGTACATAATCATTAAGCCAAAGGATGGAGGTTGAATCTTATGGTAGCTTATGAAGGTTAGTTCCATTATTTTATAATCCTACTTCGTAAATCTCTGTTTGCTTTTACTACATACTCAAGTTTTCCATCTAGCTAGAAACTGGGAAGGAATTCGCATTTGCTTCCCACACTCAGACCCAGCTGTTAGAAAGGCCCTATGAAACTATACCACTAAAATGACAGCTCCCAGGTAAGCTCCAGATCTTTAGCAGATTAGAAAAAATACTAATTTCTTCTTCTGGTCTGAGACGCAGTCCTGTCCAACAACAGACAGACTCCCGAGTACAGAGTGTTTTCCTGTGCAAACCTTCATGGATGGCTACACAGCTTTGAAGTGATGTAAACGACACAGAAGGAGCCCTTTAAATCACCCTTCAAAGCAAAAATACTTCAAAGGCAACCAGAAGTTAGTTTTTGATTAATCTAACCACCGTTCTTCATTACCAGTTGTTATGCACGGAATGCTTGTGTCCCCCCCACCCTGCCAAAGCCACATGTTGAAATCCTAACCCCCCCATTGTGCTGGTCTTAGGACATGGGGCCCTTGGGAGGTAATCGGGTCATGAGGATGGAGCCCTCACAGAGGGGATTAGTGCTCTCATAGAACTCTCTTGCCTCTTTCTACCTCATAAGGAAGTGAGAATGCAACCCAGGCAGCAAAATCATCAGAACTTGACCAGACTGGTGCCTTGATCTTGGCCTTCCCATGTCTAAACTGTGAGAGATAACTGTTTGCTGTTGAAGCCACCCAGGCTATGAGATTTTCTTATCGCAGCCTAAACCAAGACACCAGCTCTTAATTTAGAGGATAAGAGCTATGCTTCCCTATCAATTGTCTTTTTGTAAGGATCTTGACTTGCTATGTCTCCCATGCTTAAGTGACTGTCATCTTAGGCTTTGCTTTTGATTGATGGCTGCCTAACTATCTAGAAGGCTATGTTTAGAGATCACTGAGACACACTAGTCTTAAACGCCATATTAGTACTGTCCAGGAGAGATCTTTCCTGGGTCAGATATGATGTCAGCATTACCTGGACACTGGTTTAGCAAATTAATCCCACTAATCTAAGGGGTCATGGGTATTAATTTAACAATTAAAATGATATCCCTGGTGTGGCTTCACAGGATACCAGATTCTCCAAACATGAGCCACCTGGCCAAACAGACAAAGCTGAGAAATTTCTAGCAAAGTTGGACCATAAGCGTTGTTAAAATTGTTGATGTGTGTGAACAGAGCAAAACTGGAATGATTATCCAAGTTGGAAACCTGGAATCATTTAAAAAGAGATACATATAAATTACAGGCTTGGTGATACAGATAAGAGCTCTGGATTAAAGTCATAAGATTTTAATGTAGTATGATCAAGCAATAAAACAAAGCAATAGCTCACTTTTATGGACTGCCTGTGAGGTACAGTGAACACGGACAATTTACAGGATTGGAACCCAGAGCCTGGCCCCTAACCACCACGCTAGGTCCTCCTTGTGTTATAAGGGCAGTCCAATCCTATTAACCCAACAGGAATGACTTGAGAGAAAACTTTTCACCAATTTTACCAACTTCCTTAGAGGGAAGACAAGAGAATGTGAGAGCTACGTCTACCGTCGTTTCTAAAGCCTCTTTCATTGTCCACAAATCACGGAAATGCAATCAATGCGAAGGCGCCGTGTTAAGCCCTGCTCATAGATCATTCATCACACCTGTCATCCGTCTTCTCCTCTTTCGGCTCCTTCTCTTTGCTCGTACAAAAGCCAGTCTATGACAGATGGCGCCCCTGCCCAACTGCCTACTGAGTCTAGGCTCATGGAGATAAAACACACAGAAATCTGCTTCTCATTAAGGTGAGAGCTCTCTGCCTGAAACCATCCGCTGCCCAGAATGAGGCACTCCTAAGCCCTATCAGAATCAGAGCTAAAATGAATCTTTTCATTTGGCTGTTGTCAATGAGGCTGCAGGCCCAGAATATAAATATCTCTAATTCCTCAAAGCAGATTAGTCCGTTGTAAAGTACGAGTGTGGAAAACGTTTCCATATGTCCACAGCCTTTTCTGATCGTTTTTCCCCATCAGCATAATAGATTTGTGCACCGAATCGCCATCCCCTGGAACGTAGTCAAGGGCAGGCAGAAACTTACGTGCAAGAGGAGATGATATTTGAGAATCCGCTGAACTGGCTTCAAGAGATAGGACCCCAGAGGCAGTGAGTGTTTCAGAGTTTCCTGACGTTCCCGGAAGAACTTGGCCACCATCTTGTTCCGCATGCACTCCGTCAGCACAGCCACCGACCTGTGAAAACGATCCACGTTTTTATCTGAACTATAGTCATAAGATGGGTATTCAAGTTTTACATGCCCTAAAGCACGTAAGGGAGAAACAGAGCTATATTTAGACTAAAATGCCCCTGGACAATTTAGAAAAAGGTGTCTCTTTGGGTGGATGGATTAGAAAAGAGCACTAGAGAAAGCTGGTTGCACGTGGACATATGGCTTCTAAGCAGCAAGCTCCTCCTTCCTTCTAGGGAAGCAATCCCCAGCCACGACACATGCTTGGCCAAAAGGGGATCTGAGTCGGGTGATAGCCCCTGGTTGCATCCCATGTGGGTACTGCTGCAGTGCTCGAACCGCATATCCGTATTCGGTCTCCACAGGTCAGACTGCAAGGAGGGGGCACCTCTGTACCAGGAAAAAGGAGCTCCTTCTTTAGGAGAGCCAGCCCCGTGCTGGACATCTGTCACCCCTTTTGCTGGTTGCCTTTGTAGAAATCACAAACTGCCAGACACTCTGTGAGAGCTTTGGAGAATGTGGCTCATAGGTTAACTCCCCTTGGAGAATCTTTGAATAGATCCCTCTAAAGAGAGTTTCTGAAATAGCGAGAGAACCTTACTTCTTAGGGAGTGTGCCTCAGTGGACTAGGAAAGTGGGTCAGAGTTCCTTCTGCATCCCAGCTCCCCCAAAGGTGGTAAGTATAGCCCCCTGACACCCCAGGGGAATAATCAAAACGGTGTTCGTATCTTGTACATGAAAGCCAGTGAGCTCGTGGGGTCTCATACACACATGTAAATTAAAATCATATGGTCTCATAACTTAGAAGAAAGCAGGTGGAAGTGATTTCGGCCCCTCTCTCCCCAAGTCAATAATATGTTTTCAGGATTAATTTAGAAAATTAGAGCCAAACAACAAAATAAGAGTCCTTGGAAGGAAGTAATGTGGAGGTCTCCTAATGAACCTATTAGAATTGCTTTTGTTCCCATGTGCTTTGAGAATTATCTGTCCAAACGGGTTTAGTTCCTCCAGAAGCTGATATTTCAAAACAACTCCTTATCATGTAGCCGAGGGTCTTTTGGAAGGTTCTTCCAGAGCCAGAACTGGCTGCCCAGTTGTCCTTTGGCCAGCTGATGGCTTCAGCTCCTGCCCAAGGACAGGACACCTGCAACAGACTGGGAGGCGCTCACTGAACTCTGGGCTCAGGGCCCAGGGAGACAGCGGAGGACAATGACCTGACAGGGCCTGGGCCCCTCCTTGGGGAAAGGAGGAAGGGCTTGTGTCTCTTCCCAGTGAAACTGCTGGGGCATGACTGGTATGAAGAAGGTGGACATCTGTCAAGGTGTGCCGGCGACATTCAGTATCTCTGGCCTGGATCCAAGGGGAGAAGAAATGTTGTCAGATGGGCTGTGACAGCTGGTACTCTTAGCTTGGTAAGACAGTGGGGGGACAGCAGACCGGGGCTTCAGAAAGCAAACTGGAGACGGGACCAAGAGCAAAATATTTTTCTGTGAATATGAAAATCACACAACCGGGCAAGAACTGGGCACGCCTGCTTCCCTGAGTGTGATTTGCGAGCATCTCTCAGCTAACCTGTTTCTTTCCTTCCTCAAAGTTGAAGATACACAATAAAAAAGAAAAGAAAACATGAAAATACTGTAAAACCCAAAATAGAAAACACTTCCTCTCCAGGAGACTGGTCTTAACTCTCCTCCCTGGGACTTCCTACTCTCTTCTTTTTTTTTTTTTTTTTAAGATTTTATTTATTTATTTGAGAGAGAGCACAAGAGGGGGGAAGGTCAGCAGGAGAAGCAAACTCGCTGCTGAGCAGAGAGCTTGAGGTGGGACCCCCATCCCGGGACTCCAGGATCATGACCTGAGCCGAAGGCAGTCGCTTAACCAACTGAGCCACCCAGACGCTCCTTCCTACTCCTTTCTCTCATGTATCTTTAGCTTCTAGGACACACAATTAAGTCCATACTACATTAATTTGTCTTTGTTGATTTGGTCTTCCCTAACACCCTATCCACGACTGCATTTAGTTGAGTCTGATGCTCAAAAAACCCTAAAAGTTGCTAGAAGGCTAGGATATTAGTTCCCATTTCCTGCCAACGCATAGTGGGCTTGGGACCAGACTCCCTGGTGCTTTCACATGAACCATTCTGCCTGTCCTTTGACCCTGAAGCAGCCTCATAGAGAAAAATCTACCTTTGTTTTGTACTCTCCTTTCTTATTACTAAGTCCGAAAACTCTTCTTAATATAAACTTTCCAAATTGTAAATTCAGAAGTCGTTTCTTCAGATGACTTGTGTACCATGAAACTTCTGCCGACATACTCCCCCAGACAAGCCCTTCCAGTGTCTCCCACACTGATAATGGGGTCCAGAAATGGGTTGATTCTTCAGAGTTTGAATGTTTTTGTTTTTGTTCTGTTTTCCTTTCCCTTTGGAGTGGAGTGGAGACGTTGAGGGCCGAGTCTGTGGTTTCTCGGGATCAGGACGTGGTGCCATGTTGGATTTTAGCTTCCAGTTCACGGGATTTCGTTGGGGCATCCACCAGTTTTTTTGCTGCCTTCAGCACAGAGGTGGAAACCACTACTGTAGGAGAGATCATTGCTTAAGTGAAGCTGTGTAAACTCCGGGTGTGTCTACTGATAAGGATATGCTGATAGCTGTACCAATTGGCATGTGGGTTTTTGTGGTTTTTCTTTGGTTTTAAGGGAAACCTGGGAAAAGCATGGTTGGCCACTAACCAAATACATCCCCACAGCACAACATCCTGACCAGTGTTTAGAGAGGAAGACTACAACCTTCAGTGGAAAGTATTTGTACATAAGTCTCGGCCTCTGGCTTCATGCCTTTGGGTCCAAATGGGCTTTCTGGGGCCTCTTCTGAGCAGGCATTCCATTTGTTGCTCCCTGCTGTGGTAGCTGTGGGGGTGGGGAGGGCAGCCTGTGGGTGGATCCTGCCACCCCCTTTAGACTTACAGACATGTTTCCACCAAGACAGACAACAGAGTAGGTCACTCTTATCTTCCCGGCTGGTCCCCTAAGGGAACGACTCAAGTTCTGCTGAGAAACTTAAGGATGTAGTAGCATGAGGTCCGAGGTTGGAGAAATCTCCACTCAAATCCCAGTTGGGCCACTCATGACCTACGTGGTCCTTATAAAATCAGCAAACTGTGGGAGTCTCGGTTCCTTCGTGCATACGCTGGGTTGGGACAGGGTGACGATGAGGAATTAATTGTTGAGAACCTATCCTTGCGTGCCCGCACTGGGACGCATGCTTCGGTTTTCTGGAATCCTTTGACATCTCTGGATTATTGTGCAAGTTAAATTCAACAACATTTTTCACTGGTAGCATTTAACACAGTGATTAGGACTCAAGAAATGCTCAATAAAAGTTTTTTTGCTGAAAAAAAGAAATGATGACATTGACCTTTGGCCCGGCTCCGTTACTGAAATGGTCATGATATTGTCCATACGACATTCCCTCAACTCTCCTCCTGTGTGGCTCCCCAGTTCAGCAAAACTGAAGCCACAATCCAGGGGAGACGAGAAGTCCTTTTTATGTAGTTCTCAGAGCTTCTATACGAAAAATATTAGATAATTTATCCCTAGCTAGATTATATAAACTCATTCTATGTGCCTCTCAAATTCTTCAAAGCGTGCCATGTGGCAAGGGGGGGAACAGGCAAGAATTCAAGCTGAACACAACCGGTTCACTTAGTTTTCCCCTGAAGGATGCCTCCCGATCTTTTTAGTCTCTTGCACAACGTCCTTCTCACTGGCTCTGCTGGGAGTCCCTCAGCTGAATGGCTCCCCACCTGGGTACCCCGTCAGCCATGCTCAGCATGCCATGAGATCTCCCCATGGCATTCAGTGCCGTGCTGGGTGCAGACCACCTGCCACCAGCACGCGCTGGACCCCTCGACCTGACTCTGGATGCAAATGCCCGGAGGCACTACTGCTTATGGCCAATGTGTACCTTGGGTAGTTGGTGCAGTACTGCGTGTAGATGTGGAACTCTTCACTCTGCAAGACACAAAAGAGTCTTTCAGAGGCAAAAAAGCACAGGCATCAATAGGCATTTAAAAATAGTAAAAAAGAAATATTGTTCCTAACCATAAACTGGGCTCTCTCATCACGCAGGCCCATCTTAGCCCCCGTGGCAATTACCTATGCCTTTTTATCTACCTTGGTTCGTCCTAGAATCCCCCTATACTTGAACTCACTGGAGGTCAACAGACACTTGCTGAGCACCTGCTGTGTTAGGTGAATCTGAAGGTAAAAAGGAAGAGGAGGAAAGTAAGGTTTCTGCCCCAGGTACTTATAGTCCTCCAGTGGATTTACAAAGGGAAAGAGAAATAGAGGTAGATAATTTAATTATGGTGGTAAGAACATGGTGGAAGTATGTGCAGGGCACAACACAAGAAAACCGCTGTATACTTTCAGGATTTCGTAGATACAATTACCTCTGCCCACTGTCTTTCCCACCGATTGCATTGGATAGCTGCTACGTGTCCTTTGACATTGAACTGAGGCTTTGTTTCCTCCAAGGAGCCTTCCGGGAGCTTGGGCAGAGCCAACTGCTCCTACTCTAGGCTTCCACAACACCCAGTTCTCTGGCAGCATTTACCAAAGGACAGCGACCTTTTCTCTGCACCTGTGTCTCCTGCTCTAGGCGGTGAGTTCCTGCAAGGTGGGGCCGTGCCGTGTTCATCTGGCACATGCTGCTCACTGAACCGTGGAATACCCCTCTTTTCTACCAAACTGAAAATTATTTGAGAGCAGGATTCATTGTTCTTATAAACTTGAACATAGAATTACAGTATGAAAAAGAGACATTAGGTTAATTGGTGATATTTCATATTCTGCTCTTTTTACTTCTTTTTAAAAAATTTTAAAAAGACTTTATTTGACAGAGAGAGAGATCCCAAGTAGGCAGAGAGGCAGGCAGAGAGAGAGGGGGAGGCAGGCTCCCCGCTGAGCAGAGAGCCTGACACGGGGCTCGATCCAAGGACCCTGAGATCATGACCTAAGCTTAACCCACTGAGCCACCAAGGCGCCCCTCTTTTTTGTTTTTTTAAGCTACTTCATGCTAGGTTCACACATGACTCCAAGAGAGTGATTTTTTTTTTTGTAATTTTAATGCTTTAATCTTTTTCTTATTTAAAAGGAATGTCTACTTAGAATCCTTTCTGTTCACTTAACTAGGATTGGATTTAAAATATTGTATTATAGAGTCTCCAGTATACACACAAAAGTCGAGAGGGTGATATAAGGAATCACCAAGTATCCATCACTTGACCTCAACAGTAACTCATGATCTCCACCTACCTACTCCCGTTTCCCCATCCCTCTGACGCAAATTCTAGACATCAGATCATTGCACTTATCTCCAGTATATAGCTCCAGTATAAGGACTTTTACAAAGAAGCATCACCACAATGCCATTATCACATTTAAATAATTCCACAATATGAATATTCAACAGTTACTATGCAAATGTCCTATCTTCTTAATTTTCCTTTTTTTAAATAGTTGGCCTATTTGGTTTGGAGTCCAAATAACTCCACAAAGCAACCGCTTGGTATCAAATTCCTTCCTTTATCCTCTTTCCCTTTGCAATTTAGTTGAAGAAACCAGAAGGTTTGTCTTATAGAGTTTCTTGTGGTCTGTTTTGCCGGTTTTATCCCTATAGTTTCCTTTCATATGTTCCCCTGTACTGGTGTGGTTCAGGGGAGGTGTGAATAGATCAGATTCCATAGTTTGGCCAGAATACACCACAACTGTATTGTGCTTCCATCAGGAGGCCCAAAACATCTGGCCATCTCTCTTTCTGTGATGTTGACCACCACTGGTCACTGTGGCCTGACCCATTAATTCAATGGGAGCTGCCAGATGGTGACTATCTCTGACTCCACTATTCCTTCCTCATTCACTAGCCAGAATCCTTCCAAAAAAAGGAACTTCCTTCTATTAACTGTGACGCTACAGTGTATAGTTGGTATGGGAAAGGCAGGATGAAGTCTCGATTCTTTTCCTTCATTTTCTTTTCTTTTTTTTTTTTTTTAAGATTTTATTTATTTACTTGACAAAAAGAGAGATCACAAGTAGGCAGAGAGGCAGGCAGAGAGAGAGGCGGAGGCAGGCTCCCTGCAGAGCAGAGAGCCCAATGCAGGGCTCGATCCCAGGACCCTGGGATCATGACCCGAGCTGAAGACAAGGTTTAACCCACTGAGCCACCCAGGCACCCCTTCCTTCATTTTCAAGATAACACATTGGTTCTCTAGCAACCACTTTGGGTTTTTTAGGCACCGTGATTCATGAATATAAACATATTTAGTGGGGTTCCGTTATTTTTCATTAATTATCTTTACTGATGCTGAAATGATCCCGCTTGGGCCAGCAGGAGCCTCTTCTTTCTATTCATGACCTGATGTACAGAAGCCAGAATGTCCTTGTTTTCTGGAATGACAAGATGTTCCAGATCACCTTGTACATTTCCTGCCCCACACTCTTTCTTCACAGGGCCCTGATTCCTTTTGGGTGTAAGCAGTGTCTGGAGACCACAGTCAGGTTATTAGAGATGGTCTCGCCACTGGGTTAATCATTGTTTCTAGGCCCTTTCAGTGGACAGAGTTAGGAAGATGGTGTTTTTTTAAACATGAAGTACATTCTTGGTTCAAACGTGCAATTCGATTCGGGATTACAGTGTTGTTTTTTTTTTTTTTTAAAGATTTTATTTATTTGACAAACAGAGATCACAAGTAGGCTGAGAGGTAGGCAGAGAGAGAGGAGGAAGCAGGCTCCGCGCTGAGCAGAGAGCCCGATGCGGGGCTTGATCCCAGGACCCTGGGACCATGACCTGAGCCAAAGGCAGAGGCTTAACCCACTGAGCCACCCAGGCGCCCCTACAGTGTTTTTAATTAGCGTCATGCTTACCCTATGTTTTCTGTCTCCTACCAAATCCAGATCAATGACGTGAACATAAACACTCACTTGCTTTATCCCACAATTCACTCGATTTCAGTATAATAATACAAACACCACCATATCTGATATCATTACTGACAACGGTTAAAAATGCATTTGCTGTGTTTTCTCCATTGTCTATTTTAAAATCAACGGGGATTTCTTCTGTGTGATTATGCCACAAAGTGGCTGTATCAATACACTCATCATGTTGCTTTCAATTTTTGGAGACTGCCTTTTAAACTTTAGCTTTATAATGATGAAAAATAATAATTACATGGTTTCAGGGTCAACTCTATAAGAAAATGCATATTCAAAGAAGCCTAGCTTTTATTCCTCTCCATTCTGGTCTATCCCTCCATTCTTTATCGGTGATCAATTTTTAATTTTACAGTTGATTTTTTCTAATGATTTTATTTATTTATTTGTCAGAGAGAGAGACAGCACAACCAGGGGGAGTGGCAGGCAGAGGGAGAAGCAGACTCACAGGGAGCCTGATGCGGGACTTGATCCCAGGACCCCAGAATCATGACCTGAGCTGAAGGCAGACGCTTAACCGACTGAGCCACCCAGGCACCCCTACCTACACTTGCATTTTAGTTACTGTCCCTGTAGAGCAGGTTTCTGGAAAGAGGACTCCTGGATTACAGGATGAATTCAAATGTAGTATCTCTAGATACACTCAAATTCTCCTCTGAGGGGCCTGTGCCATTCTGTTCTTCCACAAGTACAGGAGAGCCTGTTTCCCCACCGCCTCGCCAACTGCATTTGCTGTCAGATTGTCAAACATTCTACTTCATGAAAATTGAAATTAGTTGCCAGTTTTCAAAAGTTGGAAGATCAAAATATCTTGACTTCTGGTTTCTCCTGGAAAAGTATTAGGTTCCCGGGGCCTGACACCCAGTTTCTTATGACTCTCATCATACGGGGTCTTGGGTTGTTCTTGGTCCCCCTGGGCCCACACATGTGTCACACTCACACACTCCACAGAGCTGTGGAGCTCTGAAGGCCCTGGAGCGTCCGGCCCTGGCTCTGTGGACAAGACCCACAAAGTGATTTGCCCAAGGTCCTTAGTAAATTAAAGTCAGATGGAGCCTTTCTTGAGGTTTGCTCACACACTCTGAGTTTCTTGTTTTTTCCCTGCCACACTAAACATGGGATTGACTAATTTCAGGTTGACTTTCCTTAAGTCTAGGAACCTTTAGGATCACCTGAAATGCCAAACTTAAAAAGAATGGTTTCAGGGGCGCTTGGGTGGCTCAGTCAGTGAAGCATCCAACTCTTAACTTCAGCTCAGGTCATGATCTTAGGATTGTGGGATTGAGCCCCGTGTCGGGCTCCACTCCGGGGCATGGAGCCTGCTTAGAATTCTCCCTTTCCCTTTCCCTTTGCCCTCGCTCCCCCATCTCCCGCTTGCACACACTCTCTCTAAAGAAATAAAATCTTAAAAAAAAAATGGTTTCAATGAAAATATATCTAAATTATATCATATACCTGACTTACATACACCTATTCCCAATAAAGCCCCAAGACTTCTGCACAATTGAATTGCTGTGCATTTTGTGATCTCATGGCTTATTCCAATATTAAATTGTTTTGTTTTCAATCAGCTCTTCTATGTTCTTTTTTTTTAAGATTTTATTTTCAATCAGCTCTATGTTCTTAATGTAGAATCAAATGCATATTTGAGCTTAGATTTGTAAGCTCTGTGGACAATCCAAACAATGGTTTTATACAAAAATCAGTAGCCCCTAGTTAATCCTTAAATGCCTTTTATTCAATATATATACTATCCCAAATCCTTTTTAGAAGTAATAGGGGAAAGAAGATAATGATAAAGAAATTATATAAAAATAGATATTTCTTTCTGATTCAACTCTGCCAAATTGTAATTAGAGATGCAAAAATTATGAAAGAACCAAATAAAAGAGGTAATTAGGGTGGGCTGATTGGGCACATGGGGCGCTTAGCTGTTTACTGGCTGAGTAACTGCTGTAAAGATATCTGTATGGTTTTAGGGTTTCTTCTGCTATGGGGTCCATCTCTTTCTCTGTCTCGCTGTCTCTGTCTCACTCTCTCTCACACACACACCCCTCCTACACATACACATACACACACACACACACACACACACTCTGATTCCTGAGAAGTTTTCCCTGGACACATGAGAAAGGCTTGTATGTAAGTAGCACCTGGGTGGGGAGTAACATGGACATGAATTCACTCCAACAATACAAATGTTCAATGTCGAACTTTCTTGAGGATAATCTCAGTAAGTGGTTAGGGTGTGTGCGTGCATGGGTGTGTGTGCCTGGGCACTGAAGGGAGAAGGGCACCGGTGGGAGGGGGAAGGAGGAGGTTCAGGAGAGGCTGGGTCCCTGAATATAAACTCTGTCTCCCTCCTAAATGTTTCCTTGGGTCAGCCCAGCTGAGAGCCAGGGTAAGAGACAGAAATGAGGGTGGAGGCTAAGCAGGAAAGTGAGGAAACCTGTTCCAGGTGTTTCTGGACCCCTTCGAGCAGACCCATGGGAGCCGGATCCGCTGCGAGACAGCTCGGCCTGCCCACTGGCGAACTTTTACTTCTGTCTCTCTCCAGAGTGGCCCCTGCAGCCCCTTGTGCTTTGAGAAGCAGCAGGTAAGAAGGACCATAGTCTTCTTTTGTCAGGAAGGATTTCTGTAACCTCCACATGCCACAAAAGCAAGGTCAAAGATGAATCCATGTGTGAGCCCCAGTGATTCAGATTAAAGCAGGAGTCAACCGCCAGCTTTCCCTCTTTCATTAATGGCCTCTCAATTAAAGTAATTTTCCATTCCTCCTCAGAGTGGAGCAGCTGGTTGTGCTACAGAAAACGTAACATCTTCTAAATTTCAGGGTGCTGAGTGAGAGGCAGGTTGGGCCAGTCCCAAACAGCCTCTCGCAGAGCCCGGCCTCCATGTGAAAGTGCGGAGCGCTGAAGTCAGTCTTCTAATTAAACTTGGCACTATTACAATGAAAAAATAAGATCTGGGAGTTGGCAACGTGGCACATAAACAGACTTTTATGTGAATAATTAAGCCGGAGCTAAGCCTATGCTGGACCGTCTTTAATCAACTTGTGATTACAGTCACCGGTAAAAGCCGGAGCGTTTCCGATCGCTCCCATGTTGTTTACGTGCTGTGGCTCTGCTAACGTATCTTCTTTGATATACACAGCCCATCTTTTTACCCATTCCTCCCTCTTCCCTCTTCCTTCTCTTTTTCAAATTCCTGCCCTTTATGAGAATGAATTATGACACAGGCAACATAGGACGAGAATTGTGTGTGGAAGCACGCGTGTACATTTCACATGTTAACACGGGGACCTCCGCATCCCCTGCCCACAGTCATGAGGGTTTTATGCGCGAGCCTGTCATCTGCCCCTAAGGAATTACGCTTCAATAAAACCCGGAGCCTTATGTTTGGATTTGAAACCACTGGATGGCTCTGTGGTTATAGGAAACGACCCTGAAACAAGTCCTGGACATCTCCAAGTTCACAGTGCACTCTGCAGCTCTAAAGGAGTGTTAGTGCCTGGTTGATTCCGAGCACCATCATGAACCTCGCTCATACTTCTGTGCCCTTGAAGCACAGCTGCGGAAATCGCATGACATTTTGCTGCAAAATAATTTCCACAGGACCTTTTCCAAACAAAAGCTGGTGCAGGTTTAAGAGAAACTTGGGAAGATTCTGCATAGAGAAGGTAGCATGTGGGAAAACAATGTAAAGGATTATTTTGTATGTTTCAGAATCCTCATGCAGGGTTGGAGTTGGCCATTTCATGAGCTTCAAAATCAGATCCTTCTACTTTTCTAAACCATTAAATCAGCTTAAGAAACATGTAGGAAAATGAGAATGCATTTTTAAGATAGAAGAGCTTAAAAATGAAGATTAAAGATCTGCCTCTCTCTAGTTCCCTCCTCCATGATAATTATACAGCCTAGACTAGTGCCATATATACTGTAGATAAAATACCTAGATTCTAACAGATTTTTGTAGCTCGTCTTGAGGCATTCTGTGTATATTTATTTTTCATACATTATTCTATTCTGGATTTTCCTCCCCACCATGCTCAAATTTCTTTCCTAGGAAAGATGCATAAACACCATTTAGTAATGATACAAGTTCTTAGACAACTACTAAGTTAGCATTTCCTAACTTACTGGGGACAGTAACACTATTTTTTTTTCCTTGCTAGTGGAAAAAAAGAAAAAAGAGTGAGAGAGATTAATGGCTAACTTCATCCAGTATGGAACAAACCAGTCATTTTAACTTGAAAATGAAAACAATTTGCAATCTGCATCTGTCTTGGTTGGCCCAGAGAAATGAACCCTGCTTACCTTGGACACAAAACATTCTGCTATGGCCACAGGATCATTTTCACAGTTTTCCAAATCTTGTAGAAGTTCACTAAAAAAAAAAAAAAAAAAAAAATGCCAGAAAGTATTAGATTCTAGTCTGATGATTGAGAACATTTTATGTGACTCAGAGGTCTACAGGTTCATATGCCATTTACAAGGAATCTTTTTTTTTTTAAAGTAAGGGTTTAACAATGGTCAAAGCCAAAGTGCACTCTTGACGTGGGAGAGCAGGTAGGTCCGGAGGAGGCAACTGCTACAAGGAATCATATTTAATTGGAGAACTGAGGACCTATTGTTATTATAGCCCAGGCTTGGATTAGGGACTTGCCCAAGATCATGGTACCCCAGGGATTTAAACACAGGTCTGACCTTTAACTCTCCCACCTACAGATAAGCCCTTCCTGCCATTTGAGTCTTCTAGATGGTTGGTATTGTCTGTATGCCTGTTCATACACACTTACTTATTCATTCTTCAAATAGCTGTCTAGGTACCAAATGCCGGGCAAGGCATAAGAACAAACACATCGGTGAGCCAAAGGAGATATAGTCCCTGAGTGCCTGGAGCTTGGAATCCACTGGAATTCCATGAAAGATCACATTAACAAATGTAAAATTATAAACAGAGAGGGAATCCCTGCCTGGCTCAGTTCGTAGAGCATGGGACTCTTGATCTCAGAGTCATGAGGTCAAGACCCATGTTGGGCATACAGCTTACTTTAAAAAAATAAAAAAATAAACAAAATAAAATTATAATGGAGATAGTGCTCTAAAGGAAAGATATGCTGGGAGGAAAGATCTTTCCTCAGATGAAAACCTATCTTATTTTTTAATGGCAATAACATTATTTTATGGAACTGCATACTATTTCATTGTGTGGATACAGTATAATTAATGTAACCCACTTCCTATTAGGTAAAATTCTATGAATGGAATTCCTGGGTCAAAGGGCATCACAGAGTTAAATGGTAACGCATTTCCAAATTGCACTTTCTATAAGTCATATTAATACATATTTTATTATGTTAAATGTTTATTTTAATTAGAGGTATATTACATATTTAAGAAAAAGTTAAATAGGGGTGTCTGGCTGGCTTAGTCAGTACAGCATGCAATTCCTGATCTCAGGGTCATGAGTTCAGGCCCCACACTGGGCGTGGGGCCTATTTAAAAAAAAAAAAAAGTCAAATAGTAAAGCTAAATAATAAAAACAAGCAGTCTCTTATTTTCTGTTTCCCATTCTCTACTGCCACTCTCAAGAAGCATTCTCAACATCTTGCTCTTTCTATCCATGGCTCGAAACATGCTGATATAGCATTTTCAGCATTTTTCAATTTGCGATATTTATTTCTTAATTTCCCAGACTTCCTCTTGTCTGATCTCAACAGTTTCTAGTATGAAATTTGATTAGATTAAAAGTCAGAGCTTACATTCTGAAGACTGTAAAGATATATCCTCAGCTGAGCCTGGGAGTACACCATAATTACATTTCCTTTCTTGTACACCACGCTTTCCCTGGAGTTAAAATCAACCCCCCCACCTTTTTTTTTTTGGTGCTTCGTTTTCTAAGTACACATAACTCATTTATCCTCAGACTTTGCACTGGAAGTGTAACTTTTGCCTCCCTGTGTTCAAACATCCGATCACCCATTGGTTGTATTTTCTTGGTCATCTCCCGCTGGAGCCCTCAGTCCTCCTGCCCTCACCTGAACAGGTTAACCTGCTCTCCACACTTGCTGGGTTCTCCCAACACCATCCAGATGAAGTACTTCTCCTGGCTCCTGTGTTAGATGCCCTGTTTCTTAGTTACCATTTCAGATGTATTCTTCTCTGGGTGATGGCAACATCTAGTAGTTGTCTGAGTCAAGGTCAAAGGTGATACGTTTTCTGAGACTCTTCTTCCTGTTTTAAAACGTTTTCCCTTCTGACTTGGCTGGTCATATCACTGGATATGGAATTCTTGGTTGGAAATCATTTTCTCTGAGTCTCCGGGAAAATATCTGTTGCCTTACGAATTCCAGTGCTGCTGAGAACTCCAGTAACATTCTGATCCATGATCCGGGATTCGGGTGACCTGATTTTCTATTCTGGAAGCTCTTAGAGTTGTCTCTTTGTTAACATAATTCTGAAATTCTGTGATGGCTGACTTTGAGGTGGAATCTTCTCGGGCACAGAGCCAACCTGACTATTTGGGAAATGTTTCCGAGCATCACTTCTCCAAGTTGTCCCTGGATTCCTGAGACCCCTTCAGGAGTCTGTACAGTCACAATTTTCATAAGGATTCCTAGGCAATGTTGGCTTTTTAACTTTCATTCTTTCATGAGCGTACAGACGATTTTTCCAGAGGTGACATTAACTCAGGATGAGGAAAGAGATGAAAAGTAGAAGCTCACTTAGGAATCCAGTGATTTTCTACTAAGTCGGACAATAAAGAAATTTGCAAAAATGTAAACCAATTCCAATAAATACACAAATGTTAGGGGAAAAAAGTGGTAAAATTATTTTTCTAAAAATGTGTGGCTTCATTAAAATTGAATAAATTGAAGTCTTAATGATTTTTCAGTTTTAATTTCTATCATATGTATAATTTCAGTATTAATTTCTATCATGGCAAACAAAACATCATACACCATAAATAAAAAAAAGCTTTTTGGGTCCTTAGTAATTTTGAAGTATGTACAGATCCTTGGATCAAAAAGCTAAGGAACCTCTACCTAAATTAGGTCTTTGATATTTTCTTTCCCCCATTTTCTCTTCTCTCTTTGAAGTTCCTATCATTCACATTTTTAGAGCTCCTCACGTGATACTCTTTCTTATTCTTCCTCTCCTATTTTCTATCTTCTTGTTTATTGTTCATTTTCTGGGAGACTTCAGTTTTATTTTCTGTCCCCTCTGTTAAATGTTTTCCTTTCTACTATCTGATGTTTTTTTAAAATTTCTTTTCAGTGTAACAGAATTCATTGTTTATGCACCACACCCAGTGCTCCATGCAATACGTGCCCTCCATAGTACCCACCACCTGGCTCCCCCAACCTCCCACCCACTGCCCCTTCAAAACCCTCAGGTTGTTTTACAGTCATTTATGAACACACATGAAAATTTTCTTAAAAAATTATTAACGAATCAAACTTATCAGGGTGCAAATATATAAAATATCATGACCAGGTAGGGTTTATTTCAGTAATGAATGTATGATTCAAATAGGATACCTATTAATATAATTTAACATATTATGAATAGAAAGAGAAAAATCATACACTAATTTTCTTTTTTTTTTTTTTTAAGATTTTATTTATTTATTTGACAGACAGAGATCACAAGTAGGTGGAGAAGCAGACAGATAGAGAGAGGTGGAAGCAGGCTCCCTGCAGAGCACAGAGCCCGATGTGGGGCTCGATCCCAGGACACTAGGACCATGACCTGAGCCGAAGGCAGAGGCTTTAACCCACTGAGCCACCCAGGTGCCCCCATACACTAATTTTCTTGAAGGCAGATTAAGCATTCAATGAAATTTAACACTCATTCACAATATACTAGGAAAATAGGAAAAAGTGTTATGTAAATCCCAGAACAAACATCATAGTTATTGTTAAGAGAGTTAAAGCACTCCTGCTAATGTCAGAAAGACGATAAGGATACCAACATTGAATCAACACTGTATGAGAAGACTTACGCAAAGAATAAGATACGAAAAAACATAATGGGTAGAAGAACTATAAAGGAAGACACAAAAATTTCTTCATTTTCAGATACTAGTGTTTACACAGAAAACCCAAAAGCATTTATAAACCACCTTTAGACCTCATGGAAAAACTCAGAAAGTTGGAAACATTATCAACATATAACAATCAACAGCATTACTAGAGGACAATAATAGCCAGTTTCAAAATAGAACAAATATTCTAGTCAACATCATAAGGAATAAGTTCTTAAAAGTTGTGTGTATGAATGTGATGAAGAAATTCTAAAACATTATTACAGGACATTTTAAAAAGGTGTGATTGAAGAGAAATATTTTTATGGATGGGATGACTCAATACTGTAAAGATGTCAATTCTGCCCAAATTAATCTATATTAAATGTAGTTCCAATAAATATCCTAAAAGAGTTCTTCAGGGAACTTGACCAAAAATAATAAAAAATAAAAAATAAATCACTTGACCATGCAAAGAGTCAAGAAAAGCAAGCTAAGCCAAAGTTGAAGAGTAATGTGGGCTTAACAGTGAAGACAATGTGATACGGGCAGAGATGGACAAACAGTAATGAAACAGAATGCGGAGCTCAGAAACAGACCCATACATACATGCAAACTTCACATGGGAGGAATGTGGAGGGACAAATCCGCACAGAAAGGATGTACTTTCCAATCCGTGGTGATGGGGCTATTGGCTAGACATAAGAAAACAAAAATTTGGATTTCCTACCATATACCATCTCTCCAACAACTGTAGTAAGGTTAAAGACAAGGCAAAATTTTAAGATTTTAGAAAAATAATACAGCATATTTATGAACAGAGAGTACAAGATAATTTTTTTAAACATTATATTTATTTAAGAGAGAGCGTGAGAGAGAGCATAAGCAAGGCGAGTGGCAGTGGGAGAGGGAGAAGCAGACTCCCTGCTGAGCAGGGAGCCTGACCCCAGGATCCTGGAATCATGACCTGAGCTGAAGGCAGACGGGTTCACCAACTGAGCCACCGAGGTGTCCCATAAGATAATTTTTTAGGCGCAACACAAAATCCACAGATTATAAAATGTACATTTATTTAGTGTGGTCAAGCTTATAAATTATATGACTACTTTTCAAAGAAACATTTTCACATTGAAAGTGAAAAGACAATCCTCATATAGTAGGAGATGATTTGCAAGTCAAATAATTCACAAAGATCACTAGCCAAAATTCCTCAAGAATGCCTACACAGCAATAAGGAAAAGAAACATCCTGACAGAAAAATGGGCGGGGAATAGAAGGCAGAAATTCATAATTCACACATACAAAAATCTAAGTGGCCAACAAATAAGAAAAGATTCTCAGTCTTAATTGTCACTGGCAAAATGTGAAATAATGTATGCCCCAATGGAATATTACATCACAGTTAAACAAGGGAGAAGTATAAATCTCAAAAACAATGTTGAGAGAAAAAAATTTTGTGAAAGGTTGTCACACTTCATGTCATATTTGAAATAAAGTGAAACCACATCATATATTTTAAATAAATGCTTACATATATAGTCATGGCAACAGAATCATACTTGGGAGTGAAACACCGGGTCTTGGATAGTAGTAGTTCCAGTCCTAGTGGTATACTGAACCGGATTATACTGACTTGCCTGAGCCAATTCTGTGTACCTCTTTCTAATTCCATGTTCAGTGATGTCTTGCTAATAGCTCGAAATCTGCTGTGATGGGATGTTTACACCACAGAAATCAGCAAACAATATAAATCCCAGATTCCCCCTCTCTTGTCCTAATGCCGGAGAACTGGTTGACCAGCACATTGCTGTGCCACTCTCCACAGAGTGAGACGCAACTGGGAGGAATACATAAGGGGCTTCAACAGTATTTGTAATGTCTTTAGGCTTTAAAGAATTTCTAAAGTAAATATGACATAAGAAAAGGCTTTGATAGAGAGGGGATAGGGTTCATGGGTATTTATCATGCCACTTTTCTGTATTTTGGAAATATAATATATACCCTGAAAATAAAATCCAGTCAGCAGAGGTTTTTGGGCTAGCATAAAACCATTTTCTTTTGCCCCTCTTTAATTTTAGAGATTTAAATCTTGCTTAGTTGGTCACAATAATATTATATTATGTTGAAAAACCTGGATCTGAACTAATAACAGAAACTTGAAAATTAGTTCAAGCCCCAACCATAGATTGGCCAGAGTCAGACCTTTGAAATCAACTGATGTAGGGTATATAATAAAAGATTCATAAGAGGCATTAACATAAAAAGTCACATCAATACTTCTTACTTAACCAAGTGTAACAGCAAAGATATTTGAGCTCTAAATGCAGACTCCAGATCTACAGGAAAGGAAATAAAAACAAATAGGGACACAATAGTATAGACAACTCAGCCGTAAAAGTTAAACAAGCAGATGCTGTTTTTTAATAGAATTATTCTGCTTTTTTTTTTTTTTAAGGTTTTATGTATTTATTTGAGAGAGAGTGAATGAGAGAGAGTGTGAGAAGGGTGAGGGGCAGAGGGAGAAGCAGACTTTCTGCTGAGCAGGGAAGCTTGCCGTGGGGTTCGCTCCCAGGACCCTGGGATCATGACCTGAGCTGAAGACAGACACTTAACCGACTGAGCCACCCAGTGTCCGTCGTTGTTATTTTCAAGAGTATCGGCTTGTTAGGACCTGGGTGGCTCAATCAATTAAGTGTCTGCCTTCGGCTCAGGTCATGATCCTAGGGTCCTGGGTACTGAGCCCCATTTCAGGCTTCCCTGCTCAGTGGGGAGTCTACTTCTTCCTCTCCCTCTGCCCCATCCTCCCTGCTTATGCTCTCCCTCTCTCTCTCTCTCAAATAAATGAATAAAATTTAAAAAAAAAGAAAGTAGTAATGAAATACAATAAGCAGAATACCAATAGAAATGTGACAAAACCATGTATTCAAAATAGGCTATAAATTGGACATCTAGTTCTACGTCCTTGAGTGAAGGACTTTCCATACTGCACTCCTGATTCACCTAAAAGATGTGCATACAATATGCGTTCTATCTGCCTCCCAAAGCTGTTAAGAGGGTTACAGGAGCTCATGCATGTGCCAGGGATAGACAAGTATGATCACCAAAAGGGACAGGCATGGTTACGTGGTGTTCACCGCATGCCCATCGTGGTACCACACGGATCACTAACACATTGTCCTCCGGGTACTTGTTCACTCTGACTCAGGCTTACAGGTCTGACTTCCTTGTTCAGAGAACATCAAAGAGAAAAGAACAGAGAACCAATTCAGGAATACAAAGGTCTTCTCAATCTTCCGACTTTAGCAGAATGGGTTCTACCGCCAACTTCCCTTCCTGTTGACCTAGGGGGCTATGTCATTCTTACCTATCTTTAAATTAGGAGACACAGGAAGATTTAAACTCGAGGAAGTAAAAACAAAACAAAACAAAACAACAACAATAAAAAAAACCCAAATAAAAACCCCCCAAAACCAAAAAAACCCTTCTGGACTATGCTACCACATCCCTAACCACGGCCTGAAAGCAGGGCTCCACTCTGGCAAGAGGGTATGTGGCTGAATGCCTGGAGTTTGGGGTCAGAGAAGTCCAGATGAGGGATATAAAGTGACAATGCAAATAAAGCTCTATGGCCTCTGCCATGAACTAGGCAGAAGACAAACAGTCATTACCATCAACTTACAAGCCAAACCACCAGAGACTTAGGCTAGGGGCCGCCCAGCATATATGCCTCAACCCTCTCCCCATGTTGCAGTGCCATTGGTAGCCTCTGGAAGGAGAAGCCCCTTGGGGGGGCGGTTCATGGAATTTTACTAACAGCGACTGCTAAAGAGCCTGTTTTAATACCAATGAACATGTGGAGTCTAAATTCCCTAATTCAATTTTTTTTTTTTAAGAGAGAGAAAGTAAGCACATATGAATGGTGGGGAGGGGGAGGGGGGGAGGAAAGGAGGGAATCTTAAGCAGACTCCATGCCCATCAAAAAGCCAGAGGCAGGGCTTGACCTCAAGACCCTGTGATCATGACCTGAGTTGAAATCAAGAGTCCGATGCCGAACTGACTGAGCCGCCCGGGCCCCCCAGTCTAATTCAATTTCTTGGTGACCTTTCTCTATATTCTTATTGTTGTGTCTATTTTACATAGATGGTGTTTCCCAGCCACAGCTGTACATTACAAACATCTGAGGAGCTTTTAAAAACTTCTGATGCCCTACCCCCACTCCAAACCAATTCATTAGAACTTCTGGGTGTGGGATCCATCATATTTAAAAAAAAAAAAAAAAAAAAAAAAAAAAGCTTCCCAGATGATTCTAGTAGTGTATTTCAGGGTGAGAATCACAGTCTTGGAACATGCAGTTTCCAAAGTCTCTTGAGTCAAATCAGGGAGATGTTGCAACACAGGCAGTTTTTACATCCCAGGCTTTCAAAACGAAAGGAGGCGTTGATGCAATTCTACACACAGATCTCTCAGAGGCCAGGCTTGTGCTCGGTGTTCGGGATTCAAAGGTAGCAAAGCAGATATGGATCGTGCCCCCAAGGTGTCACTTAAACCAATTTCATTAAGCAAAGAGGGATAAGATGTATAATTTGCATTATGGTTGAGTCATGCAATGACAAGGCACTGCAGAATTTATAATGGGATTTTACTATAACAAAATCAACACCATCACTGGTTGATATTTTTTTTAAAAAAGATTTTATTTATTTATTTGACAGAGACAGAGAGATCACAAGCAGTCAGAGAGGCAGGCAGAGAGAATGGAGGAAGCAGGCTCCCCGCTGAGCAGAGAGCCTGATGCGGGGCTCGATCCCAGGATCCTGAGATCATGACCTGAGCCGAAGGCAGAGGCTTTAACCCACTGAGCCACCCAGGTGCCCCACTGGTTGATATTTTGACGCTTCCTCTGGGCTGGCATTGAGCTAGGCAGGCACTTCCGGTGTTTGAGCGCCCTGAAGCTTCACAATAACCATAGAGATGGATAATCTTATTATTTCCACTCATTCAATCCACAAAAGTTTGCATGCCTCCAATGGGCCACGCACCGTTTAGGCACCTGGACAATAACAAAACAGACCCCAGGCCTTGGGGAGTGTTCTGTGAGTGGGGGTGGGGAGGAAAGAAACAATTGATGTAGACCAAAAGTCAGTCATAGAGTGTGTCACTCAGAATTTGATAAATGCTGAAAAGAAAAGGCAGAGCAGGTGAAGTGTTCTGTGGGTGTCTGACAAGCTTCGTTGAGAAAGGGAGACATGAGCACAGACTTGTAGGGAGGGAGTTAATTCTTCCACTCCATTTCAAGACTCACCCAAGGATATCTACTCGGCTAAGCTGGGATGCAAACCCAGACGTGTTGGAAATGAGCGTCTGTGCTCTTAACTTGCCTACTGCCTGGCAGAAGTTTCGCAATGTATAATACACTAACTGATCTGCTTGTCCCAGACCCTTCAGCAAATTTCCTAAGCCCAGTGTCTTTTATGTAGTAGGTACTTAACATATGTTGGAGTTAATCATTTAAATTATTAATTAATTTGATTAGCATGCTATAACTTAAAGTATTTGTGTGTTTACTGGGTCCTGCCCACTCCTTAGGCAGAAGAAAATTTCTAGAAAATTCAGTGGAGATGGGGTGCCACAGACGAAGCATGCATGCGTTTTTGGATGCCCTGTTCATGTTTTGTTGGAGAAGAACGATGTCACTGCTCTGTCAGGGAAAATAGGTCTCTACTCTGAGCCAGGAGGATGGACTGGGATAGAATATTAAATAAATGTAAGACTCTTCTAGAACAAGGGTGCTTCTAGGTAGAAGACTTCATGGCATGATAGCACACAGAAATGGATGAAGTTGAGTCAAGGATTAGAGGTTAAGTTCTCTTAGGTTGCATTCATTTGAGAGAAAGTCATAATATTCCTAAGTGATGGTGATCTTTTGAGTAGGAACTTACCTATTGAAGTGGTAGATATCCTGTATGTTTCCAAAGAGGGCCGATCTTTCTTCTGTCCCCAGGGGAAGTTTTGTTTGGTCCCTGATGCAGTCTAGGTAATCCTGGGAAATCAATGAGAAGGATATCTTAAACACTCCTGTCGTTCTCCAAGTCATCATTCGCTATGCAAGATGAATCTCTCATAACAGTTTCAAGTAATTATGATACTAATATGCTCATTAATTGTACTATGGAATACAGAATGTCACTTTTATTAATGCTGACAATGCCCACCTATTTATAGAATGGAGAGTTTGAGCAAGAAGTATGGTGTTACATTAGGCTATATACCCCCCAAATGTATTAGAGTTTCCCTAGATGGGCAACATAATGACCATAGTTTCTCATAATGTCAAATTTTTGGCATAACAACATCATCTTCTGTTTCCTTGACTGATTTGTATGATAAAAAGATACTCAAATTCATTTAGTGGAAAGCCAGAAATACAGACCTTAAAATTTCTCATCACAAGAAAAAGAATGTGTAGCTGTGTGTGATAATGGCCATGAACTACGCTGTGGTGCTCATTTTACATTTATACACCAGCATCAAGTCATTATATGTTGGATACCTTCAACTAATACAATGTTCTATGGGAATTATATCACAATAAACTGGGGAAAGAAAGTGTTTAAACATAACCTTGAAATCAGGAAGCTATTGGTTGTTAAAATGCAGAATCAAATTCTTCCTCAAACACCACTTTATAGAAAAAAAAACTTTTATTTTAAAAAGCACATAATTCACTTATGCTCTCTAGTGGGCTATGTTAACGAGCCCTGGAAAACTCTGAAATGGTTTTCTATCTTTTAACACAGGAACAGCTCCCAAGAAGAGCTAATGCGGGCTCAGAGCTACAGTGGGTTAAATGTCCCAGGCTTGGAAGCTTTGAGCTGCTGAGAGAAAGCTGTTTTCCACCCTGGGTGTGAGAGTTCCTAACTGAGTGCTCCCCCTTCCCCAGCAATGCTTGAAAAAAGAACTCGGCAGGAGGCAGGAAAACAATAAGAAAAAAGTGAAAACAGCTGAAATAACGTAAAATAAAAAATAAATACAATCCCCTGCCCTGGGCTGTGCAATGTGCTGTGGCCTTCCACCAAACGTCACACAGCATTGTGCAGCCTGGGGAGGAATGGATCCTGTGGAAATCCCAGGCTACAGCCGCATTCCAGGGTGTCCCATCCCAGCCACAAGAGCAGATAGGTGCAACCAGCTGGGGGGAGCCTGAATCTAAAGAACCATCAGATAATTCTTCCTTCTCCCTTTTAATAAGCCCCAATCATTCTCTCACACTATGCTCCTCAAAGGAAAAACAGGCTTTACCGTCACCATTCTCAGGAGCACGTTTCACAGACCACATCATATAATTCACCGTCCTGGCTCTTTAACGCTAAAATCACTGGCATGCACGGACCAAGGTTTAGAAACCTTTTTTTCTCTTTTATTTTTTAAATGATTTTATTTATTTATTTGTCAGAGAGAGAGAGCGCGCGAGCGAGCATATGTGCACAAGCAGTGGGAGCGGCAGGCAGAGGGAGAAGCAGGACTTGATCTCAAGACCCCAGGATCATGACCCGAGCCAGAGGCAGACGCTTAACTGACTGAGCCACCCAGGTATCCCCCCTTTTTTCTCCACTAACAAGCTTTGTGAGAACATTTTTTCTTCTTAAGACAGTGGTCATCTCAATAAGTTAAATTCATCAGGTTTAAGAGGGACCGGCACCCCAAACCAACAACAGCAAGACAGAGCCTCCTTACTTTTATAAATGGAACAATTAGAAGGAGCTTAAGTTATCTGCAGAGGATATAAAATTAATGCCTAAATAAAAAATGCTTGAGAAAACTAGAAGTGAAATGAACGCCTTCTGAACAACATGTAAACCTAACCTACACTTCCTCGAAAACATAGCTGTAGTCATTGATATTTACATAAAATTACACATAATACAAAAAGATGGGCTGGTATTTAATTTGCACCGAAGGCTTATATTTGATAGCTGTTTATACTTTGATCAACTTTTTTTTTAAAAGATTTTATTTATTTATTTAACAGAGAGAGATCACAAGGAGGCAGAGAGGCAGGCAGAGAGAAAGAGGGAATCAGGCTCCTGGCTGAGCAAAGAGCCTGATGTGGGGCTCGATCCCAGAACCCTGAGATCATGACCTGAGCTGAAGGCAGAGGCTTAACCCACTGAGCCACCCAGGCACCCCCTTTGATCAGCATTTTTTTTTTTTTTAAATGTGGGGAGGTTTTTTTGTTTGTTTTTAAGATATTATTTATTTATTTGACAGAGATCACAAGTAGGCAGAGATACAGGCAGAGAGAGAGAATGGAGGAAGCAGGCTTCCTGCTGAGCAGAGAGCCTGATGTGGGGCTTGATCCTAGGGTCCTGGGATCATGACCTGAGCTGAAGGCAGAGGCTTTAACCCACTGAGCCACCCAGGCGCCCCCTTTGACCAGCATTTTAAAAGGACATGTCATATGCAAAATTAAGGCAGTGACACAGAAGGATCGAGATGGGTGTGAACCTAAACAGAAGCTATGAATAGGAATGAGCCACACCAGATAGCAGGCTAAAGGGCAGGACAGAGATGACGTAGGCATGCCACATTCACCTCTGTGGCTGCCATGGGGTTTAAATGAGAAACCGAACCACCCTTTTTTCTCCTTTCAAGTGAAGAGCTTGCTCATTTGCAGAAACCTGATACTAAATTCTTCATGTGAGGGAAAGACCGAGTAAAGGGGCTTGAGGAATTTCAGCTGGGGTTAGAGACAAAGAACCGTGGCCCACTTCCAACAAATAATGGCCTCTCTCCAAATGAAAGAGTTTCAGAACCTCCCAGTCCGTGGTAGGGAAACTAGAATTTAAAAGCTGCTCGTTTTCTGAAATTGTTGAGAAAACAGATCATTAGGAGTCCAGACTTTTGTAGGCCACTCTAGAAAACAGATCAAAGTCCTATGGCCACAACTTGTTCCCCAACTGATCATAATTAAGTCTCTTAAATATGATACTTTAACCCTAAACCAGTTACCGAGAACTACTGTAGCGTGCACGACATTAGCAGCTGTAATCATTTCCAGCCAAAATGAGAGGCTCGAAGCTCAGTGATAATGACATTGAGTCTGTGCTCAAATAACAGAGTAAAGACACCCATGAAATTTATTAGAGCCTGTCACACTGCTTATTAATTTTATTGGCTTGATGTCAGCATCTGTGGCTACCCTACAGTTAACAATGAAGGATCAATTTACAAGTTTTGCATTGAAAACAATTATTCTCCAAGAAGATCAAAGAATTCACGCGACTGGGAGAGGGATGAGGCGGGGAGAGACACACAGGAAAGAGGTTTCTACTGGTGGACAAAAATACCTATTATGCCATTTTAAATTCTGCCTATTTATCTTCTAATCTCTTTCTGTCCTTAGGATCTTCTTAAGATTGCAAGATTTGTGCGTGGGTGTCCTCATCATATTAACTTTTTTCATTGCCTGTAACGTCTGTTATTGAAAACATGCAAGTAAAGACTAACTCAGTGCCATTGCAAGTGTGGCAAATGGAAAAGGAGCCAGTATGCAAAGTGTCAAGGAATTCAGTGCAGAAATTGAGAGTAAGCGCGTGGAAACTTAACAGCCTTTTCACAGAATGAGATCCGCTGACTCTACTGATCAATTTGGGCCTGCATTTTGCACGCCTGATTTTTTCTATTTCCTTTTCCTAGCAATTCACTTTTTATTGTATTTTCCAAATGTGTCAGTGTGTGGCTGGCTGACAGAGAACGCACAAGCGCACACATACACACACACATATCCCTGTCCCTCAGCCACAGAGAGAAGCGCTGGTCTAGGCAGAAATGCTGGAGAAATGGACAGAACTCAAATTCACCTTTAAACTCAAATTCAATGTTCCTGGTAGTTTGCCTTATTTCTCTGAGATGCCTAGAGAATTAAATTAATGTCTCTGCCCCCTTTCCCCTTCTTCCTCTAAAATAACATTTAAGACGTTTTTAAATTATAACCTGTTTGACAGAATGAAGATAAACCACAAGAGGGAAAGAAATACTGATTTACAACTACAAGTCTCTTCATACTTCACATCCCTTCGACTCTTTCCCGCGCCCCCCTTTCTTGTCGAGAGTCCGCTGTGGAGACAAAAAGATTCCATTCCTAAATCCTCTTGTGGACATGTCAAAGTTCGACCCTACTGGTTTTATAGTTTACTCTTTTTGGTTGGTTTTTCTCTTTTTAGCGCTTCCAAATTCCAAGCCCTTGGATATAACTCCTATGTGAGACGACTTTTTTTTTTTTTTTTTGGTTTTTATTTTGAAGGAAGCACTTTTTTCTTGTTTCTCCAACCCCTCCACCTTTTCTAGAATGTAGTCATCTGTTTATCCCCAAACCTGCCTTCCAAATGCCATGTATCAGGTTGGGACGCCACTGACAGCACAATAACTTACATTTGTCTCTCAATTCACAGTTTAAAAGCCTTCACGTTCATTCATACAAAACCTCTTTCCCCACCCCCCTCTTTTTTGAGGACATAAGAATGTGTGCCAAGTTCTGTTTTACAAGATAGGAATTAAAAAAAAAAAAAAATGAATAAAACATGATCCCTCCCCCCTAAGGAGCTCCCTGTGTAGTTGAAAGACAAGTGTAAACAAGTAAGTACAATACAGTGTTTAGGCCACTTGGCTGATAAATATTCAGCACTGGAAGAAAAATGGGGTGGGGGGGGGGCAGAAAGAGAAGCGGTTGATTCCTGGGCTGGGAGAGGCTTTCTAGGAGGTGCGTGTGGAACTGAGCCTTGGAGGGGAAGCCGCAGTCTGGATGGAGGGCAAGGGAGGAGGCAACATCCAGGAAGTAGAAAAAGTGCAGACAGAAGCACAGGGTTGGGTATGTGGGCTGTGGGCAGGACCCTTAAAGGTGCAGCGCTGGGCTGGGGGAGTCCGCCCCAGGTGCATGCGCACTGGGGCCCTGGAGGTAGGCTGCAGGCACTGCGAGGACAGGGCTGATGGAGGGGAACGGTCCATACTCTGTTGGTGGTGGCAACCACTGAAGGATGGAGG